TCACATTTGGTCTGTGACCATATTTGGGGCTCTACATCATCCACATGAAAGCTCAGAAAAGTATGAGATTGTTGTCAGAAATGGTCATTCTCTCATATATTCAGGTTCAACAGTTAGTTTGTAAATATCTGCTTGGAGTAAATAGATCTCGGAAAATTGAGTGGCAACCAAATGTGAGATTTTATGGGCCCACAGCACCCCCCTCAATTAAGATATTTGACAACAGATTCAGAATCTATGACCAAGAATCTACAATAATACACATTTTCAGCTTCCTAACTCATTTTTTTATGAAATGATGGTCTCTCAAATAGGGATGGGCATGATTAATCGATTAATCGATAATTGATCATTAAGAATTTCATCGATTACGTTCATTTTAATCGACAAACCGAATGTAGGTTGCTGTGCGTAGCGTGACCAAACAGGGGTCCGTACATGTAGCTCTCTGCACTCAGAAGGAGCGAGCAGACACAAACAGTCGGTCAGTCTGCAGCGTACCGAAGCACAAATGCCTATTTAACGATGATTTGTACAAGAAATTCCACGCTTTCCGTTGCGTTCGGGACAAGTGTGAGGCCATGTGCACAGTGAACAAAGCAGGAACATGTGTTTCGGTGTCCAGTGGGAAAAAGTTTTGCCAGGTGAGAGTCGCTCAATGTCGATGACAAGTCCCCACCTCCGGCCCCTGTACGGTGTCCTGGTTTTGACCAACGCAAATCTGGTCACACTAACCTGTATTCACCTGAGTCATGTCTTTTAATCCGACAGAAGTTGACCGCATCAGCGACACAAGAGCTGGAGTTTTATCTTCGCTGAGTTTATGCAAATGACCGATGCAGTTTTAAGTTTCGTTTCTGTGAGAGTTGCGCCAAACTGCATTAAACACGTTATAATTTCAAACGGATTGATGTGGCTCTAGAGTCGTTACGGTTTATATGTCGTAAAGTTGAATTTATTTATGCAGATTAGTAGTGCAGATAGTAATAATAATGATGATCATTTTAATATAAAAACGTTAATGATTAATCGATAATCGATCGTTAATTCTTCCGACGATCGATTAAGAAAATTTCATCGAATGCCCATCCCTACTCTCAAACATGGTTATAAATTAAGGCTTCAGAAAAAGTGAGCATGGCCCCAAAATTTCAACGAGCCATAACTCAGGAATGACTCAAGGGATTGGGCTAAAATTTCAGATTCTTTCATTTGGTGATTTTAGAAATTTTTTGAATTTTTTTTCAGCCAAATCTGAGATGGCTCATAGGGGAGATTCCTTGAAAATGGCTGATTTCATACAGACTGACCCTTTAGTGTCAGACATACCTTGACTCCAAGGCACTGTGTGGGAATTGTTGGTCATGGGTTTCTGACTGCTGCGCACATGTTCCTAATTTATTACATATTGTCCAATTAAGGCTTGGACAGACAGTGTCTGTTGATACTTTGCATTTTGGAAAGTTTGTGTGTGACAGACTTTAGAAATAAACAGTGTTTAACAAACAAAAGACATGTTCTCATTCACACCTTGTTGAGTGGAAAAGGAAGGAAAGGAACAATGGGGTAAATTCAAAGTAATTGAAGGTCAGGCAGCCACAGCAGTGTAATCAGTGGTGAGCCACTGTGCTGTAGTTATTGGCCCCATCCTCCTCCTTTCTCCAGGCAAACTCCCAAGCACTCCGCCTTCTTCCATCTGTCTGAAATCACCAGGGCTACTCCAGAAAAGAGAGACCAAGCTGCAAAGCAAAACAAGACACACAGGGACTAGTAAACAGGGTTCTTTCATTTGAGTGGGAACCTTTTACGTGCGACACAAATGATAATTTTACTAAATCTGTCATTTATCTCCTGCACTTTGTTCAGGAAAATGTAAAATACCTGTAGCACATGTTCAAGGGTTTGAGATAAAAATGTGTTTTAAATGAAAGCCCTATGTTAAGACAATTGAGGATGTTGTTATTTGTCTAGTTTGTCAAATGCCTCTACTGTGAAGTCTATGTCAAAGACATAGTAACTGTATTAGCTGTAGTTGAAAAGAAATTGTCTGTCAACCAAAGCCAGGCTCTGCAGAGCGATTACTCAGTTTTAAGGGGACGCACTGTGTGGCACTGGTGATGATGATGTGACCACATATATGACCCAAACTCTACCAACAAAATTCCGGCAGTTCACGCAATAACTATTTGTACAGAGACAGTAGTACTAGATTATTAGAGTACTAGAAATCATCAGTCACTCTCTCCAACATTTCCTTTTTACTGTCCCTGTTTCAATAAAAGACTATTTGTTATCCTTTTCAACCTAAACCTCTTATAGACCATGGCAATAGCAATAGCATCCACAATCCTCTACCAAATTTATCAGGTCACAAGTCCCTTGTTTTGTCTAATTTTTATTTTACCAGTTGTGGCGCAGGAGAGGCAGCACACCTCCAGTACTTTTTCCATAGATACTGAAGAAGCACAGACTGAGACATAGATATATATAAGATATATTTTCAGCAGATTAACAGACCAGTGTGTAAGAAAAGATGGAAAGTTACATTGAGCCTCAGAGCTGCCTGTTGAGGGGTTCCCTTCACACAGCTCTTGATCCCCTGCTCGTAACAAGTATTTTAGGAATTCTGGAGTACAGCTCATACAGGTTACATGAACAAACATAAAAAATAAGTTGATTACAAAAAAATCACACAATCCATCTGACACAGATACAGACAAACTAGCTACTGATATTTGTCTTTATATCAATATTTCAATATTTTACAATCAGTAACAATGTATTGTCTTATTGTTTCAAATATATATTTTTTTAATATTGATGTAAACATTCGGCCACTTCTTGTGCTTGATTGTTCTTCTATCTGGAATCACTAAAAATTGTAGAATAAATTGACTGATGTATTAAAACATTTTACAGATATTGGCTGTTATTAAAATTTCATAGATATTTCCACCAATACATCGGCATCCTTAATAATTTAACTGAAGATCACACTTATAAGCTATATTTAGTTTGATGCAAAACCAAAGTACAATGAAAATAATTGTGGTATTTTGTGCCGATCCAATGTTTTATAAGGCATACATTTCTTAATGGCAGTCCCATCTCTGTGCAGTACAGCTCTGTCTCTTAGCTTGCGTGCTAGTCGGCCATATAAAGAGACATAAAGGCTTGTTGCGTACATTTTCAAAGATATTTTTGGCCTGTTTCCAGTTCCTCTTCTCATCAGTCCCAGTCACTCCAGCTGTAGTGCACTGCGCTGGGCTTCTCCCTTTGTTACTGGTCCCTGAGGGCCACACAGCTGTTGGAGGAGATTGGCACAATCATAACCAATGCATTTCTCTACCAATAATACAATATCACCATTTATGCTTTATGTTCTGTCATCATGCAGCTCAAGCCAATGACAAACTACGGTGCTCTGCTTGTCCTCTTGTCCTAGTTGCTTCACCCTCTTTCTCATCCTCTAGACAAATCCTCCTGAGGGACTAGATTATTCAGCACACTCACCACAGAGAGAGAGTGGGAGAGAGCGAGAGAGGGGGAGGGCAGGGAGGGAGGAGGGGTGTAGTAGTTGATTATGTAAGTGCAAACACTCAATGAAGATGAGGAAGTGAACTGAATCAATGAGAGGAAAAGGGTTTGAGAGCAGCAGTAACATACAGCCTACTTTTCGATATAATATAATTTTCGTTATTTCAAGACAATTAAATAAATTAAAGCACTACCGCCCACACTAGAGCTGCACAATATTGGAAGAAACATTAAAGATGGACTCGTTGCATAGTCTGTATCTGATGAAGAAGAATAGAGTTGGGCTGTGTGCCAATCCATCTCCACAGAAGGAGGCTCCACGCTCCCTGGCACTCTACACACTAGGCCTTTGTGGCTCAGAGTTTGCAATTGTAGTTGTGTTTCCCACTTCTTTCCTCAAGCCACTTCCATGTGAACGGACAGAGATAGTCTCCAGAGAGGACCTAGGAAATCAGGAAGAACAGAGGACTATTCACAAGTGGGCTAATGTAGTTTCCACATCTGATAGCCATGCCCAGTTAAACTTTGAAAGGTGTCATTTGACTACACATCAAAACTACAGCACACTCATGAACTGTTGGCTTTTTCTTGCATTTGGCTAATGGGTCAGTAAATGTGATGAGCATGTGCTGAGTGTGGCTAACACCCACACAATCTTTGCAGCTTGTGTTACTTGCAGTGGTGCCCAGTGTAACATTAGCCTTCCAACTTGCCATATATCCCCCCTGATTGTAGTAGGTCTGCAGAGTAGCATTTAAATAAATATACAGTTCCTTAAAATCAAGATCACATTGATTCAATGTATATTTTTTAATAATAATAGTAGTAGAAGTAGTAGTAGTAATAAGAATGATGATTGTTGATGGTGATGGTGATGATGATGATGATGATGATGGACAAAATATATTTGCAATTGTAAGCAGGATTCATTTCACAGTTCACATTTTAAACCTGTCCATGAGCATTTACATTTGAGAGAAGGTGGAATTTTAAACTGCTAAACAAATACAAGAATTTCATGCATTTCAGAACAAGTTTATAACAGTCTATACTTGAGGGTTTAACACATTTTTCATTTAAAAATTATATTGTTGTTGACAGCGAAGATTCAGTTACCAAAGTAACTAAAGCTTTTGAGCTTTGAAAACGGCATCTATTCAAATAATGATTTGATTGTGATATATTTGTCATCTATTATTTTATGCACTTTTATGTACATATTGAGCGCAGTTATTATTATGCCTTCATTATGCCTTAGAAATACTAAAGTATAGTTTGAAGCATAATAACATCTTGATAAAATTAGCTTCCTATCAAATTCAAGGTTTGCCATTTCTCTCTGAATACCAAATTGACTTTGGAAATGTCAGTGATACAGTATTTAAACTTATATTCTGTGTAGTAGCTCTATTTCTCTCTATTTCTCTATTTGCCTCTCATGAGTTTATCTTGATGTGTTGCAGGGGACAAGAACAGCATATACGGTATGAGCACATCTACCTGCCTGAGCACAGCGGCCAATCTGAGGTGGAGTATGCCGAGATCAAACGCCCGCGGTTAGAGATGGCCCCAGAGAGCCTGATACGCCCCACATCCCACCGGCCGTCACTGCCTTTGGGGGGGGTGGAGGACCTAGCAAAGGTGAAAGCTTCTGTTTCTCCTCACATAAAGCACTGCAGAACAGTTGGACTTGTGGCTAGTTGTGCTTTAATCATTGCTGAAATGTAGAACAGTCATCAGTTGTCCAAACACCTTAAGCAGGTACAGAGGCGCTATAATTAATTTCTAACTGAAATGAGGGCCAAGTTCATATGAGTCTTTGTTCCATGGCTCATTTGACTATAAGGACCTGAAATCTGAGTCCAGGTTTGGGCACGCTAATAATCAACTCCTTGGCAGAGCTCTTCTCACTCTAAATTGTGGCACAGCCATAGCTGAGGTTATCAAAATAACTTGAGTGATGTTTTGAAGACATATAAAGTTTAGATTACAATCGTATGAAGTGATATTTCTGTACTTTTGTGAGGTACTTTACAGTCACTGCACAGTTGTGTGATTTTAAACCTGTATTAATATATATAAAATTTAAAAAAAAACATATCAGTATATATAGCTTTGATGTATTGTCATTTCTTCTTTAGAATTTTTTTTTTTTTTTTTCCAAAAAATCATTTATTGGCTTATAGTTCACTGGAACTGAGCAGCATTGGTTGAAAGATTGCAGTATTTGAAAGAGTAAACAGTCTTTGAAAAGAGTTCACAGATTGAGTCATTTCCACAAAAAAAAACAAAAATAAAAAAACCTCTTTCCAAGGTTCCTGTCAATGCCACATAAAAGATATTGTTTGATAAAAGACATCAGAAGAGGAAGAGACTGAAGGCGAGTGAGTCTCGTGCGCTGGAATGGGAGAGAGTTGTGAAACAAATTAATATATAATGGAGTTGGCCTAGATTTCAAAAGACTGGATCAAAGTGTCTGAACTGCAGATGAAAATGCCTGGCTGTGCATGGTAGACCTGCTTTTGCTGCTTTTGCTAGCTGGGCGCTCTTGATATAACTGCCTGAAACTGACTGAGGAGGTCAGCTGAGGAATGGTAAATAGATTACCCAATAATGGCAGGGGTACAGTTGCAAAATGACTTTAAAAGAAGTTCCAAAATATTCAGGAATGCCAGTAATCCCCCTGAGCACCAAGAGGCATGATCCATTATATACATCGTGTCAGATGCAATCACTGACTAAAGATTTGACTAAAATGAGGCAAAGGGCAAAAGTGTGGAGTGGCACAGATAAAGAGCGCGGGGGAGGAGCCATGCACAAAGGCTAACAGGAAAAGAGGGAGTCGGCTCGTAGTAGGCAAAGCATGAGTCACTCTGAATCAGCCAAGAACAAAAGCACATTTTACCAGTCTATTTGTACACGCCAAATCTATGCATTCTCAAATCCAGCAGGCACATAGCGATGTTTGCTCTCAAAGAAGACACACCGACTATCTATGACTTAAATATGAGGCTGGACAAACACAGATTACATTTGATCCCATTCGGTCTGTCTGAGTTGGCTGACCTTTGCGACAAAAAACAAACTGATACTGAAAGCGAGTTGGTGATAAGAGCCCTGACTAATGCAGCCATAATGTCAGTTATAATGATTACTATCAATGACCATCAAATAAAAACGCAATTAACTATGTGAGCATTCTTAAAGAGGACACATTATCCTGTTCTCTGACACTTGCAATATTGATCTAGAATGACTGACCTCCATTTAAAAACTGCTGCCCTGATTTCTTTCTGCTCCTTTTACAATACATCACCTTAAACCATAGACTGTATGTTGTAAATGGACATGGCTAACACGCTGGCCACAGCGTTCCAAGTAGGAAATGAGCATGGTTGCACTTACAGCCCCATCGTTGCCGTTCTCTCGTTAATTGCTCATGTCACTGTCATCATTTTGGTCTTAAAATTTCTGTATTAACCCGCTCTACATTATCCTGGTGTTTTTTATTTAGCTTTTTTGTTCATAAATCAAGAAAAGATATTATTTATATTATATTTTATTTATATTATATTATATATTATAAGAATTGAGCAATAGTGCCTTGAATGTGAATAAAGATGTTTCAAACATGCACAAGGTACTCAAGTGCATACATTAAAGGGAAAACATTAAAAATCTTTCTGTCTACATCCATCTGGTTAAAAGCTCTTAAAAGTCAATTTAGAAAATATGTCTCTATTAAAAGTGTTAGTGGTAAAGCTAAATAATGGGCAACCAGGAAGTGGAAAGTAGACCAGTAACCATCAGAAAATTTGCCATTTCACATAGTGATTTGTGTGACCGAAATAAATAAATAAATAAAATAAATAAAAATTAAAAATAATTTGAATAGAGTAGCTGCTCATATGTGGCCATTTGACCTGTATTGGAGTCAGTGCATTACAGTACTTCAAATCAACTTTGTTATTGTTAAGATAATGACTTTTTGAAATGATTAACTGTGATTAAGAGATGACTATAAACAATGTTGTCATTGTTTGCTGTCACAGTTGCTTATGTTTCAACTGTTACCTAAAATTTTGCTTGTGTGGACACAGTCTCATGCAAGACTCTGTATGGAGATTTAAAAAGAATATGGCCCTCATCTTTAGCCCAATTCTTATCTTCTTTCTCATGCCGCTGTGTATATCTTTGGTTCAATGGCTATAAAAACAAATGATTTCCTTCCTTCTGTTGGTCTGGTATGCACACGCTGCTGTGGTTGGTGCTCTTTAAATAGAAAGCGTTTGCATTGACACACTACAACACTGAAGCTAATAAAAACATGCATAGCTCTAGACATCATGTTGAGGAATGTTCTAAATGTGGTTGGGGTTGTTGAGGGCACTGTAAGCTCACTACGCTGGGACAACAGCTTAACTGCAGGGCATTGACCTCTTTCTGTACCACAGGTGTACAGGCTGTTGATGTGTAGACAACAAGTTACAATTGTGCATAACACTGTCTTTTACATAGAGCTGAGGCTTTTTTGATAACACTTGGGTGTCCTTAAAATGGTTCCCTTTAAACATTGTATATATGTCGTCATTAATTGGTTTTAGGTGTTTGTCAGAAATCACAGATTAATAAAGACTTTGTGTGTAGTTGGGTGTGAAATGCTCTTTCTAGTCAGATTTAACTCTATATTTATCTCCATCTTACTAAAAAGGCATATTGCAGTACAGTGTCATTAAATTGCCAAGGACATTTTTGTATTGTATAAATACTAAAGATTTCATTGATCACATTTTATATGAAACCATATTATTCCTGGATAGCAGTCTAGTCTCTTTAGTGAACATAGTCACCTGCCTGTGCTTTTGTTATGATCCAGTCTGCATCAACTGTGAGCTCATATGCATTAGTCTGGTTTAGTACTGCTGAGGCTCAGCTAATGTCTCTGCTCACAGGACTTCATTATTGCTTAACATTTTGTGCCCTGGGATTGCACAGTCCCACATTAGATTTTTTTTTTTTGCGTAATAGTAAAGATGTTAAAAAGATGATAGATTAACGACTTGTGGTGTGTCAGAAGTTGGAGCTAAAATTGTATCTCTTAATCTTGTTACATAATTCAGATCTTGACTTTTGCCCTGGGTTCTGTTTCTTCAGGAGCGTGGAGGTGGCATGGGGAAGTTGGAGCCCATCTCTCCTGTGAGTCCCATCACCATGGACCCTGACTTGGACCTGGTGCCAACCCGCTTTTCCAAAGAGGAGCTGATTCAGAACATGGACCGCGTGGACCGAGAGATCACTATGGTGGAGCAGCAGATCTGCAAGCTTCGAAAGAAACAGGTTTTTGTCACTATGAAGGCATCTAGCCCACTTCAAAATTAATAAAAAACTGTTGTTTATCTGCTTAATGTTTTTACATTCTGTGTCAGTTTACCTCTTGACTCTTGCAGGACACTACACACTTTGTTATGACTGCATTTAAAGTGCAAGCGATTTTCCTTTCACTGTAGCAGCTTAAAATGTCTAATCCAGCTGTGTCAGACAGCTGCTTTTGGTCGTGGCTTTGCCTTTTTATTTAGATGGAAAGTAAGTAGAAAATAAAAAGAACTATAAATAACAGTTTCCTCTGGGAGAACATTATGACAGAGGTTTTGTGATTGTTAAACCAACCTATGATCATAGCTGTCTGTTCCTCGAGAAGCTGTTGTCTTTTAGACAATAACATTTAGTTCTGCACTTGTAATGAAGTGACTCTCGTTGTTTTTTGTATTATAAAGATAGAAATGGGAATTACTGATGGCCACATGTCTGCAGCTGTTTGTTTGGGTTGCTGTCCAAACTTGGTCTATGGCAACAATGGGATCTCGGGTTTATTTAATTTGACGAGCTGTGGTTAGACGGGAAATTGACGGGGGTCTGAAAATGGTGGTTATCCCTGACCTGATACTTATCCAAGCCGGTAATAACATGTTGTGGTGGATCTCTGCTCTTGTGGGAAGTTTCGGGAGACTGTGCATCCAAACAGTCACAGCATTTCCACTGTTAAATAAGGTTGTAACCCACTAACCCCCAAGGCCTAACCGTAACCCACTAACCTCGAGGTCTGCTCTACTTTGAATATGACATGGCAGCTGTGACTATATAGATTAGAGCATCTAGAAAAATTTGACACAATGTATCTAATAATGTTTTAGTTATAGAGGTAAACTGATTTGACCTTGGCTCTGGAAAACTAAGTAGGATGTCCCACTGTTTTTTTTTTTTCTTTTCTTTCTCTCTTCAACGCCTCTCATGTTGTGTTGAATATTCAGTCTCACCACTGGCAATGACTTTGTTTACAGCCTGTTGTGGTAAGCATTTGATTAACTAGACCCTAGGGAGCTAATAGCTATTAAAAACTAACAGGGCAGTTCATCTGCTTCCAGCTGGGTTGTGGGGAAATGGTGGATCTAACACTTTAACACAAAGCTCACAACATGGAGCAGTGATCAACGGGCTGCTCATGGAAAACGTGTGCATTTTGGAGTTCAGATAAAAGTATTTAAGTTAAAATAATGCTTACTTTGGTTTCTGTTGCAGCAACAGCTGGAGGAGGAGGCAGCAAAGCCCCATGAGCCAGAGCGGCCCATTTCCCCACCCCCGAGCGAGGCCAAGCACCGCAGCCTGGTGCAGATCATCTATGACGAGAACAGGGTGAGTCAAGAACACGTGTCCTAGCACTACAGTGACCCTGTCGTCATGGTGATGAGATTGGGCTTCTGATTTATATAAAGCTGATTAAACCGATAATTATGTAGGTAAAAAGATTATGCGAAGGATTAATATCCCCCCTGTTGTACCCTGACCTCTATCAGATTTTGTAATGTTGATTCTCTGTGCTCTCAGTCCACCTAGTGGTCAAAATCATGTTCTTTCGTGTCAGTTGTACCAATCAATTAGTTTGTTGTATAAAATGTGATCTGTTTGTGGAAACCACATCCAGTCTATGAAGAACTGTTGGCTTAAAAACACAAAGTCATTCCAATAACTTTGCATCACGTTGTCCTTTAGTGAAGCATTGTTGAAGTATAGTTAACCTGCACTCATTGCCCTTGGTAACCATTCAAACGTGAAAAGCAGCTATTTAATGAAAACACCTTCTGAGACGCCACATGCCTCAAGGCCCCTGCTCTACTACGGTCATTGTTCTTCTCCAGGACAAAGATGGCTCCACTGAGTGATTGCCTAAGATTTCAAAAGCTGGAAGTTTAGAGTGACTCACTGCTTACTCCACAATGCAGCCTGACCTCTGTAACACTTTCCATTCCCCTCTCACTTTGAGGATGTGCATCAGCCTGATGCCCCTCCGTACACACTGCACAACTCATGACTTACTGTGACAAAACACAGGCTTTATAGTCTCATCATCATATCTTATTTACAACTGGAGGTTCAGGTCAGTGCTGTGTGTATGTATAATGTATGACCATAATACCATATTTTCTGATTAGTTTAACAATTTGTCTTCTTAAAAAATGCTTCCTTTTTCCTGTAAACATTATTTAATGCTAATTTAAAAGTACATTTCTGCCAGCTACCACAAGGGGGCAATGGTTTTGTCTGTGTTGGTCCTTTTAAAATGAGCCAGATTAAGTTTATATAATAAATTCCATTTATACAAATAATTAATGTTTAGGAGACGCTGTCATGTAGAGACATCTATGGCAATAAAATGAGAGAAATCCTTGACCCTCCCTGAGGACGAGAGGCTGCTTTTGATAGTTACTGCTCATTAGCTGCTTTAAATGAGGCAATAGTCTGCAGCCTCTTACACCTACACATAAGGATACAATGTATGACATCTCTGACTGCAATTAAAATATATTCTGCCGATACAAATGCATTGTAAAGCAATATATGTATAGCAACAGTATAGCAATAGTAGTACTTTTTGTCTTTTATGTCTCTCTTAAAGCAATACGCATGTGGCATTTTTGTAGTTTGAAAGATGTATGCAATTGGCTGATGTACTGTCTAGACTAAAGCAGTAACTATGCTGCTTCTCTGGTGAGTTCTGCTACTGCTGCAGAGGTGAACGGACAGAGGAGCAGAGTGACCCGTGGGTGCTGATGGATAAAGGTTGACAGCTTGTGTCTGTGCTGTCACCTCTGAAATGCCCTGCACCTTTTCTATACACTTCCTAACACTCTTATAGTGTCTTATACTGTCTGTGTGCGCTGTAAGTCCCTCAGCTGGCACTGTCAAAAACAACACAACATAGAACATTCGGAGAATAAGCAGTAAGAGTAATGTAGTATCAGAGGAGAGGAGGAGCTCAGGTGCATCAAGTATTGATGAGTAACACTGAGAGGATTTTCACATCACTGCAGTACAAATTAAACACATTTTGACAAAGGCATCAGCGCAGGTTGCGTTGTTCTTTCACCCACTCCTTCTGATAGTGTACCTCTGGAGGTGAGTAATCGCTGTAGTGAAAGCGGGGGCCTGGAGCAGTGGCTAGAGCTAAAAGGTCTAATAATAGACAGCTCTCAGCTCTCATCCATCCTTACATCCTGGTCCACACACTCTGTGTCCAGAGTGGTGTGCGCGCGCTGCCTGTTGCCGTGGAGACAGCAGAGGTGCAACTCTAAGGCTCTGCTCCTGTTTGTTTTCAACAGAAAAAGCTGAAGAGGCTCATAGGATACTCGAGGGACTGGGACCCCGGGTGGAACTGGTGAGTAGCTTTATATTATTATAGGTTTTAAGATGTAAATTAAATACTACATTGATCTATACTCATTGTTTTGTGTGGTATAATGGTACTATTTTCATGTTGTTTACCTTTTCTAGCCTCTATACAATCAACCCTCAGATACTAAACAGTACCATGAGAACATTAAAATGTAAGTGACCAGTGAAATCTTCTTTGCTTCTGAAAGTATTGCATCTGTACCATTTAGCTCCAGCACTCTTCTGCATTAAAGTTTGTTTATCTTTACTTTTGAAAGTATTGTGGCTGTACGGTTTAGCTGAAACACTGCTCTGTATTAGTTTGTGTATCTAAATGTACATGTTTCTGTACAACATTGATGCCATCCAAATTACTCTACACTGCTGCATTCTGTTGTGTAATGTTTGCACAGTTTTAATAGTCTTATGTTAATTTTAGCTTTAATAATTTGTCCATCTCATAAGGGCATATCTAATGACCAAGGATATTGGGCATTTTTAGTGGACATAAGGAGCTGGAGGCTGATTTTAACATCCTTTTCTGGCTGAAGTCTGACCACTTGATGTGTCTGACCTCTCTGCCCCACACTGCTCTGTCTTCGGTCCTTTTGATCCTGGCTGTTGGATCAGTATTATTGCCTCAAAGCTGTTACTGAAAACTCTCCCTCTCGCCTGCTCTGGGGCTGTTATTAAGTAGTACTGTGGCTGTAACTAAACAAATGGCTTCTTTGTTTCTATAACTGACGTGTTAATTCATTCTGTCTGTGAGAAGAGTACAGCTATCTCACTCAAGCTCTGGTTTATTCAACTCAAATAATGCATAAAACAATTAGAAATGGCACAGATAAAGTCACATCCACTTGGCCTTTTTTACTATACTGTTCTGGCTTGTGTAAGTTGTGTGTTATAAACAAAACAGAAAAGAAGCACATGTGCCTTGCCTTTTAGACAAAAGTCCCTCTGTTGTGTTATAAATGTCTTTCCAAAACTTTGCAACTCTCCCAGCTTCATGCTTTTGCAGATATTATGCTAAATGAGTGTGTACTCAGATATCTCAGAAATGGCACAGGCTTAGAGCAGCACAAAGGGAACCTTTAGTTGAGTTCAGGGCCACTAATCTTTCCCATTGCCATCTGGTGCCCAGCGCACAATACCATCTCTGTCTTAAACTGTCAGTGCGACTTTGCCAGCAACAAGTTAGATCTGACCCATTATATGCCACTCAAATTTTGACCATATTATATTTCTATTGCAGTCACCAGAATGTATTTTGGTTTTCTTCTGAGATTGTTATATTATTTTTTGTGCATAATTTGTACTTAATTTGTCTGTATGTGTCCATTTAAGTATACTGTTAGCCTAGTTCTAAGTCCAGTGTCCTTGACCCGAGTGACCCTGTATCTCAGCTGAGGTGACTAATGTAAAATAAGATCACATTAATCAGTGCAGAACGTTGCCCTTACAACTGACAGATTAAGTGTCCGAAATAAAACTGTGTCTTGCAGCAAAGAAAGGGTCAAACAGAGCGTCCGCCTAAGGAGATTACTGGCCCTGACCTTTATTTGAAGCGCTGGTGATTGCTGTTCCCAGACCAGACTAGTTTTATAACATTGGCTGCCGCACTATCCCCCAGCCTACAGCAAGTTTGACTGATGTCATCTAAGGACATACATTTATTCATGATGGACAATACTTCTTCCTTTTTTCTTTTCATCCATTCTTTTTCATTTTTACAAAAAGTGTCAGAGTTTAAACAAACCTGTAACTTCAGGTGTCAAATAAAGTAATGTATTTTGTTCCATTTGTCCAGCCTAATCCCATGATTTCATTTTTAGTAACCAGGCCATGAGAAAGAAGCTCATCTTGTATTTCAAGAGAAGAAATCATGCCCGGAAGCAGTGGGTAAGGACAATCTAATCATATCCATAATCCCAATTAAATTAAAGAACCTGCGTAACTTTTATGATGCAAGGTACACCACCTTCTTGACCCTAAATTTTCCTCAGATAAGCAGGTTACTTTAAGGTTAGGATTTAGGTCAGATCTGTGGAGAAGTAACTGTAATAGTGTATGTTTTTCAAGATATTTTAAGTAATGAAACACATAAAACAATGGAACATTAGCCACAAAGCAATAACCATGGATACAAGATCTAAGTGGTGTGCCCTCCATCAGAAAAGTTAGACAGTGCAGCTTTAAGTCATTTTTTTGTATTATAACAACTAAATTTACAAAAACTTACAAAAAAAAACTAAAGCATAGAATTGTTTGGTCTTCTTGGCTGCCATACAAGATAAAAACTAGGCTATACATGTAATGACATTGTGTAGCACTGTTAGTACTGGTTTAGGGGGGGTTGGATGTGGAGGCAGGATCACATGAGGAGAACTGGGGGAACTTTGCAATGTTGTCTACTAGCATTTGTTGTTGGTTGGTTAACAGTCTGAATAACAACATCTCTGTTAAGGAAGTATGTTTTAACAGGGAGTCTCATCTTTCAGAGCATCAAACACAATTTATACTCAACCTCAATCAGCAATAAAATTATTTGACTTAGTATGTGGAAAAAAGGATGAAAACCTGATTTGTATTACTGAATATTTCTGATTTGCTGTAGGAACAAAAATTCTGCCAACGTTATGACCAGTTGATGGAGGCCTGGGAGAAGAAAGTGGAGCGCATTGAGAACAACCCACGTCGCCGGGCCAAGGAGAGCAGAGTGCGTGAATATTATGAAAAACAGTTCCCAGAGATCCGGAAGCAGAGGGAGCTGCAGGAACGCATGCAAAAGTGAGTTATATATTAATACCATTAGATGTTTATTTTTATACTTTCCCTTAATTTTAGATGCTTTGGTCTGGTAAATTGGGAGGGCTTCTTGTAATTATTATTTTTTTGTTCTCTAGTCGAGTTGGGCAGCGTGGAGGTGGTCTGGCGTCTGCAGCTCGAAGTGAACATGAGGTCTCTGAGATCATTGATGGGATTTCAGAACATGAGGTACGTCGTCATTGAGAAATATACATCTCCAAGTGAAATAATTACTTTCATAGCTTATTCTGGACAGATTCTTATAGTTGGCAATGGCTTGTTCTGTTTCATTGAGAGAATACTGTAGGTTTAGGTTATACAATCTGCTTCCTGTCAAAGACCAACCCACTTAATTCAGGATGTTGTTTTTGTGTGGCATGCGGCATGTGTGAACCTCAGAACACAGAGAAACAAATGCGGCAGTTGGCAGTCATCCCTCCCATGCTGTTTGATGCTGAACAGCAACGTATCAAGTTTATCAACATGAATGGACTAATGGATGACCCCATGAAGGTGTACAAGGACCGCCAAGTCATGAACATGTGGAGTGAGCAAGAAAAGGACACTTTTAGAGAGAAGTGAGTAATGTGGTGTGCTACCTTTTCCTGCTCTTTGTTACCTTTTCCTGCTGTTCTGAAATGCGCGTTGCAACACTGGAATTTCCCCACTGTGGGACTAATAAAGGCATATCTTATCTTATCTTATCTTAATGTTCTGATGTTTAGCTCCATTATTATTACTATAATTATCATTAGTATTATTTTTTTATTATTTTGTTTGGCTGATATTTACAGAAATGTTTGTTTTGTTTTAACTCTTTTTTTAAAGTATATTACAATTCATTTCATGGGTCAGTATGTGGAAAGGAAGTGGTGCTTCCTCTTTCATGAGAAATAACTGGCATTTAAAGCTGCCAGACTCATTCAAAGCTACACAGTGACGAGTAAGTGCACCACTTGTTCACAGAAAATGCAAAGCTCAGGTTTCTCGTCTAGCAACACACGATATTTGAGCATGTTGAGGAAATTGCTTTGTGTGTTTTTGTTGCATCAGATTTGTTAATGTTCAGCTTTGAAACGTGTAAGACATTTTCATTTTTAGTATTTCCTCAGTCATTCACTTTGGATTTTTCTATGATCGGCTTTGGTATTACTTCAGGAAATGCCTCTGATTTTAGCCAATCCAGAGCTCAGGATAACTTTTCTCTTCCTCCACAGATTCATTCAGCACCCCAAAAACTTTGGCTTGATTGCATCATTTCTTGAGAGAAAGGTATTTTCTAATTTATGAAATGCTTGTATTTTTTTTTCCTGTCCATTTTGGATATATTCTGTTTTGTTTTTCAGACTGTGGCAGAGTGTGTACTTTTTTACTATCTTACCAAAAAGAATGAAAACTACAAAAACATTGTACGGCGAAACTTCAGACGCCGGGGAAGAAGCCAGGTATGATCCTTATACATTTAGCTGTCAAAAACCATATGCTTTTCATTAAGAAATATTTAGCAATAAAATACTACTATTAGTAAAATAAGCGTTTCATTGTTAAATGATAATGAAGGGATTAGTTTTGCTCTTTGCACGGCAGTTAATTTAGTAAAACTCATTTTGTTGATGCTTAATAGACAATATGTGTTTTAGCCTTCTTGGCATGATCTAATCATTATAATCATTTAAATAGGATTTCATCACTTCATTAGGAAGTGCTGCTTAATGTTTTTGGCCAGACTGTGTCTTTGCCACTCTGAACTCTAACCTCAAAAGCCCAGACAGACAGGAAATTGGTAAGGAAGTGGTTGTCCGACCATGAAGAGCAAAAGTTACACAGCAAAAACAGACGTGCTATTGAAATGTTTTTGAATCAAAAAAGGTTAATTGGTATTTTAAGCTTATATTGGAATGAGCAAAGCTATTGCAATCCACATTTATCTTGATGGGAAGGCAGCCAAGTAGTTGAAGCTGTCTGCAAAAACTAGTGAGTCATCAAAATACACGCACGAAGTACCTTATCACTGAAGGTTTGCCAATTTTTTTTTTTATTATGCTAATGCATAGAATGTTAAAAAAGCATTTACAGTTGATCTGGCTACAGAAGAATCTATTTAAATGAACATACTCTGACTAATTTGATCATCCCACTGAAGCTTGCTCTGGAGGCAGTGTCTCCATTGTTTTCACCTGACCGCTGTTCTTGCCCCATTGTACAATAAATGCCCGAATAATTTATCACAGTCAATTATCTGTCCATTCAAGTGTGTTGAAGTATACAGGTCAAAGCCGAGGACTGGTTGTCAGTTGCACGTATCCTATTACCTGCAATTATCTTTGTAATAGAGTGCATGTCTTTCCTTTTGCAGCATGGACAGCAACAACAACAGCAGCAACAAGTGAACCGTAACAACCAGGAGGAAAAAGAAGCTGCAAGGGAGGAGGACAAGAATGAAGCAGAGGACAAGGATGATGGAATGAAGTAAGTTTAGAGTCTGTAAAACAGGATTAAAATATGTGAGCCAAGTGATTGTGAGGCTATCTTAATACGACTATAGCGAGTTTACTAAGAGGAGTAATGCTGTCTACATTTACATGCATGTCAAGAAAACCAATTTTCCTTCTGAAAGATCTAAAAACTGCATGCAAACCTGGAAAACCAAGTATGGTCTATATAGTTTATACACGGAGTACAGCTGCATGCAACAGTGTTCTCCTACTTCTCATGGAGTTGAGAGTTGCTGAGTTTGAAGAAGTTTATGTCTTGTCTTTACATTTCCTTTGTTAATTCCTTCAAGTTTTTTGATGCCCCATTTCTCTAGAGAAATCTCTACTGTAAGTGTAATTTGCAACCAAATGAAAAAAGCATCTTTTAAATATTTGTCAGGTGTGCTGTCATAAATGTAACAAATATGACTATGGGCAGTAGTTGACAACATGAGTCAAAGCAGAACACAAGGTTTAAAAGATGTTGTGGTTGAGGACTCCTGGTCCATTGCCCTGTCATCCCTGGCACAGCTGGCCTGGCTTGCCTATATTTAGTGTGCCACCAGAGCTTCCCTCAACAAGATTAATGAAGCTGTAACAAGATGAATGGGGGAGTGGTGGGTTCAACTGTAGTGGCCATCTCCTGGCATGCTGTTCTATTGACATTCAATAAATTAGAGTAAAGAAAAGTTACTATACATTCACTAGTTTGTTCTTAGATATACTTCTTGAGTTGACCATTGAGTGCTTTGCTCCTGTGATTCTCTTTTAATCACTTTGATTGTGTACATGTGCAGGGATGACACGTCTGGAGAGGATGCAGAGGACAAGGAGCCCACAGTGGCTTTTAAGGGTCGACGTACAGCCAACAGCCAGGGCCGCCGTACGGGCCGCATTACCCGCTCCATGACCAGTGAAGTGGAGGAAACATCTGCACCACCTGTCAACAATGAACTTGGTCAGTCTATGCTATAGGTTTTAAAAGCATTTTTACAAACAACACCACACAAAACATGCATCTCTAGGAAAATGTCTTTTTAAAACATATTTAGCAAGACTCTCTGCATTGAGTGTTATTTTTCTGTTATGTTTACCCTTGACAAATGTTTACATTTTCTGTGTACCAGTAACTGTGCAGCCATGGCAAACAAACAAAACAAAATGCCAAAGCTGTACTATTTCAACCCCAGTGGTTGTAATTGTTAATAATGTTGTAATATAATCAAAAAATTTTAACCTAACCCCAGCACAATTAATTATGGTAGGCTCACACCACAAGAGTGCAGCATTGTGTCTTGTTTTTGTTTTTGGTTAAAGGGACAATTTTTACTTGAAAATTCTGATTTCTTTTCTTTTTGTTTTTTTTTTTTTAGTCAAATGAATCTTAGTAACATACTTAATTTTGATATCTGTTACCTAAATGCAATGGTTTATGTAGACAATACATTCTACCATTACTCGTCCATGTAGGTCATAGTATCATTGCAGGTAGGTCAGACATGTACATTGATTCTATGCTGCAGGCAATCAGCTCTTTTCACCTGTTTCAGCAGTTTTATGAATAAGCTAGAGTTGTTCTGCTGCTGTGCTCTGTCACTGAAATCCCTGGTGACCTAATCTAAAGGCCTCTTATCTGACAGGCGCGTCCCTCTTTGCCCTTCATGGTCCCGATAGAGGACACACACGCATTAGTTGTAGATTGGCAGACAGGGGCAGGGTCTGGCTTATGGCCCAAGTGAGGAAACAGGCCAGTTGTTATGTCTATAATAATTAACAGACTCCTCTTCTCGGATTTCCTGCTTCTTCTGTGTAAAACAAACATTCCCCGGTGGTAAAAGTGGTCAGATATATTGATACTTACACAAAAGATATGACCAGTATCAGTTTTAACTACATTTTTTCATGAAGAAACTGTTATTGTATGAGTTCTAAAATGTTAGTGTTGCTGTATCAAATGTTAGTATCACATTTGTCAGTCACTTCTGAACTGACTTTTTAACCTCGGCCCCACCCTTTATATTTTCAAACTGAGTGATTTCCTTTTGTTTAGCCAATCTGGAAATGAATGAGAGCTCACGATGGACTGAAGAAGAAATGGAGACTGCTAAAAAAGGTAAGACAATGCAAGTATGCTCATTTTAAATTAACATTGGTGCATTGCAGTGGTTACTAATAATCAAACTATAGATAAACCAAACTGAAACTGTAGGGTAGTTTGGAATAAGAGCATTTCTATAAGGGAAGACATGCAGCAGTTACATGTATGTGTCAATCAGCCTGAACTTGGTCTGTTGTTCTTTGGAGCAGTTCCCATTCGCTCTGGGTCAAGGCAGCCTTTCTCTTTATCAAGCCTGTTGTAAAGTCTGCCTCTTCATCAGTCATTAACTCCATCTGTTTATTGTCTCACTGAAGATTACACAGATTTCTACTCACGTTTCATTGCTGCAGCATTTGCCACAAGCAGAGCACAAGTGTCCACTTCACTCAGTGACTTTCTTTCCCTCACTGTTTTTTTGTTCCACACTTTGTCAAAAGGGATTCCCCTCCTGTACCCTTTGTTCAGACTAAATGACACTAACAGGATGTAATTTTGCTTTGATCAACTCTTGACTCATTGTAATTATTTGGGTTGTGCCTTGAGTCTGACGATATAATACATATCATGATGTGCATGTCACGGTTCGATATATCCCGATACGACAACAATGGATGATATATTGCAATTTATCAATAATTACTTCTAATAATATAGTTAACTACACCTTCAGGAGAACAATATAGTATGAAATACAGTGTATTATTATTTTTTTAATCACGAGAACAGTGAATGTAACTAACTAATATAACTAATGAATTTTTGTGAAATATATCATTCAAAAAATCGTTTCGGATGCGTTTTGAATCAATTTGAGAATTGTACAATACAGTATCACAATATATCACGATCAGTCAGTTTTTTTCTTACACCTCTAGTGATTAGGCATGGTGCAGTCTTCAAATTTAGTGTCAAAATTATCATGGTTAAAGTAATGAGAATAATGATTATATCACAATAATTATTACACAAGTTGCTGACAGTTTAAAAATGTTATATGAATGCAGATGAGGCATTATACTTTTGATATTATGAATAAGTTCCTATTTAAACAACTGTTACAGAATTGTTCTTTGTTATGAGTGAAAATAAAGAGTGATTTACAAGAAAACATCAAGGATAAATAGCTTTTTTCAGCACATTCTGGTGATAAAATGGTGATTATTTTTGTTGGTGATTATCATGATCATATAAAATATCCCACAAACCATTATTGCCTACCCTTTTTGTCACAATATTATTGTTTATTGTCCCATCCCTAATTGTAATACAAGCCAGCTGTGTCATTATAATTTCTATATGGTGCAACAATATTAGTTTTTGTCGTCTTTGCACACTGTTTACATGGTTACTTGAATATTATTAAATAAGTTATACTATTAGCTATTATGTTATGTCACTTGAGTGTCTCGTGCAATTTGTGTGTTAGGGGGTTATTTTGTGATAAGTGGCAGTGGCCTAACTCAAACATGGTCCTGTGTCGTAATCCTGGTTAATGTCTTCAATTCCATTCTCCTGCAGTGGGATTAGTGGGGCACTCCATCCCAGAGGATTAGCCTGGCAGCTTGGTGGGAGCAGGGCTTCTATAAAGGGCTTATGTAACCTCTAACACACAGCCCTGGTTACAGTACAAATGGCTGCAACAAGGGAGCTGCTTTTGCCATATTTCATCACTTTTAACTACTACACCCAAATCTGCCAAAAGGGATTTCCCTTCTAAACAATCTCCACCCCCATGTTGTCAGGGCAGTGAATGAGTTTGACATGGTGCTTAAAACTACAACTCTTGCATGCATTTTTATTTATTTTTTTCTTAATTACAGTTTTATGAATGGTCTTAGACTTAGACTTATACGAACTTCATTGATCTGCAAGAGAGATTACTTGGACACAGTAGCTCACACATCACAATATATTATAATAACAAAGAGAAAACATATAAGGGGTAATAATACATTCTAAATAAGCAGCAAATAAAGCAAGAGACTGGTGTTAAATAAAGGCATAATTATATTAATATGTACAAGTAAAGACAATAAAAAAATAGAAATAGAAATAAGTAATAAAATGATCTCAAGCAATATACTAAAGGTCATAAGGGAAACAGTGTGAAGATGATATGATGATTGACAGGACATGGGTTTATCTGTTACTTTTGGTGAGTTGTTGTACAATTGTATGCATGTGGAGAAGTGTTAAGGAAGCAGTGGTTTGATTTCATTATTGAGTGCCATCTGAACAAAGCTCTGCTTTGTCACTTAGCCTGTGTATAAGAGGACTCTGTTTACTTTTGTTTACCTGGTTGGCATTTATGTATATGTGCCTTAATCTGTCAGACTTTGCTAGAGTGCATCCAGGCAGCTTGATAATGGCTCCTGTTCAGCTTCCTAGAAGAACTCATTTTAAAAAGCAGCAGGTAGACAATGCCAGATTTTTCTCCCCTCCTTTCTTCTAGTTTTGGTCTATCACTCACTCCTCTGTTAGCTTCTTTTGGGTGGGATATGGCTATGGCCCAGTTTGGCAGGCACTATGGAAGATTTGGCAAGCAACTTTCCCCACTTACTCTGGCTGCCCACACAGTGTTGTTATGGACTTGGGAGAGGTCACATTCAAGATGAAAACCAGGTCAGTCAGGAAAAATGTGAGAGCTTTCTGCTTTCTCATGGTATCAACATCAGCGCTGTCCCTCGTCTGCTGGTTTGCACTATGCTTAGTCGTCACTTCTATATCCTCTCCATTGTCTGTGTGGCTGAGAGCTTTTGTGATCTGTATCCCTCCTGTGTTTACTCTTGGACTGCCTGAGACACTGTTTGCGTCTGTGTGCTGGAGTATTAACAAGAGACCAGAGCGTCTACTCACTCATGCGTAGGGTTTGTGTGTGCACTGGTTAGAGTGTGTAGAGTGTGTGCGTGCTGTTGGCAGAGTAAAGCTGGGGGAGGGACAGAGCGGCTGAGCGAGCGAGTGAGGGAGGGAGAAGGGAAAAGGAGAGATAGGAGAGATCAGATGAGGGTAGAGCAAGGCTGAGCACAGAGCGCCGCCCCACAGTTCCACTTTCCTGTGGAAGTCTTCCCAGACAAGCGCCATTGGGGAAAGACGGTACAGAAGAAGAGAGCAACCCTGACTAAACACAAGAGTTTGGAGAGCGAGACGGGGAGGGGAGAGGCCAGGAGCATGTGCTGCTTTGGAGCATGTCAACCTGACACCAGCTCAAGTATCAGGCCAGCTGGCAGGAAGAGCTCAGAGCGGATCGGAAGGCCCAGCCCTGAAGAGCGTCCCGACTGGGCCTCCAGAGATCAGCCTGTCTGATAGTCAAGTCCAGAAACAGGCCAGAGACGACGGCTGGACTGACAGGCATGTGACAAACAGGAACAACCACGTTCTAGCTGCACAAGGTGTTTATTGGACTTACTCTGGGAGGAGCTACTACAGAGCATGTTTCCTATTGGCTGAAAGGAAGCACCTGCTTCAGTAATGTTGCTTCTGATTGGATAATTGTCCCATGTGTGTTTCTTGGACAACTGAGGAAACTAGAGCTGCTTTGGATTATGCTGCATGTACTCGCTTACAGTGGAACAAACTGGGCATAGTTAGAGGTCATAACAATGTAACCTTTGGCTGTGGTAAATGAATGCAGTGTGTAATAGGTTCAGTGGGTGCAGCTCAGTGCTTGTTGATAGAATGTGTGTTATGTCTCTACATGGGCTCTTGGGTATGTTGTACTTGTACACATGTGTGATTGGGTTAGGGGTGACTACCTCCTCTGTCCATTTGATTAGTAGGTAATAGTAGGTAGTAGGTCATGAATGCTTTCTGTTTTAGCAGGGACTATGTTAACATATTTTATTTTATTTTATTTTATTATAAGCTTTCCTTGTAAAGCTTTCACTGGCAGGAATGAACATTTGCTGAAATTGGCACTTCCACTTCAGTTATATGTGAGTCCACTACTATTTGAATACAGCAGCTCTGACTAGAAGAATACTTGCTATAGAACACACTTTTAAATATAATTACAAATTCAGGTTTACTGATGGATACACTTGATTCTAATTCAAAGAGCCAAGTTTCAAATATTAGTAAAACATGTAATCACATTTTTAATAATTGTTTTAGGTTTGTTTGTGTAAACTTATTCCAATTAGCAAGCTAGAGGCGAGATTCAGCCATAAACAGGATTTCTTGTCTATTGCTTTGCTGCCGTACTCCCTCTATGAAGTGATGAGGTGCGCGGACCTCTGAACCCATGTCCAAGGTTGTCCCTGGAAGTGTTGGCTGGTTGCCTGTTAATAACCACTACACATACACTCCATGTGAAAGGCTGTCCTGCTGCCAGGGCCTGTCAGGCTGGCACAGGAAACAAGTGGGTGGTGTAAGCTAAGCCTCTTACAGCACACACTGTTAATGAGCTGCTTTTAGCTAACAGCAGACTCCAGGGGGAAACACCGGAGTGCACTTGCACTTGCACATACACACTGAGTGCCCTCTACATGTCTTGTTTTAGCGCACACATACACAACGCGGTGACAGGTTGATCTATCACAGCTCAGGCCCAGCGGGTGTATGCAGACTCTTGTGTAAGCCACAGTCATGTGCTCGGTTGGGTACAGGACCACAGCTTCTTGGAACTGGGTCACATCAAAGTCAATCCAAATATGACACTGAATGACCTTAGAAAGAGCCACTGATGTCACTGCACTGACTGACAGCCACAGGCAAAGATGTGCTTACTATTGAACCTTTCTTTGTGTGTTTAGCTTAAGCAAAATGTGCTTTAGAGCAGTGCAGTGACATTGGTGGGCTGTTTTAAAAGCAGAATTTATTGTTCCATCTTTTAATTTCAGGGCTTCTCCAATATGGTAGGAACTGGTCTGCCATCGCCAAAATGGTGGGATCCAAAACTGTGTCACAATGCAAGAACTTCTACTTCAATTACAAGAAAAGGCAGAAATTGGATGAGATTCTGCAGCAGCATAAAATGAAATCTGTAAGATCCATAATCTAAAACATGATTCTTGACTGCTACTAGAGAGCATTCACTAGCATTTAATTTAATTGTTCTGTTTCAGGAAAAGGAGCGGAAGGCTCGCCGTAGGGGTAAGACTTCACAGAGTGAGGAAGCCAATGCCCAGTTTGCAGCTGAAGAGGAGGAGATGGAGGGTTCAGGGGGCAGTGGCAATGAAGAAGAGGCCCCTGAGGATGGAGAAGGTATGACATTTGTGTTAAGTGTCACATTTTACTTAATACTTAAAAACATAATACTTAAAAACCCAAAATAATTGAACTGTTGCGCTGGCGATGTCATAGACACTGTGTGTAATGCTCCTCCATTTGTTCATTGTTGAGGCTGTATCCTGAATGTCCTGAATATACATCTGTTGCTAGTCTGTAGTGTGTTGTCTTTACCTTGACAAAGGGCGTTAAAGCCCCAGGGGATGCCATCCATCATCACAATTGGTTTTGTGTTCGTTTTTGTTGTACAGTGAAACCTGATTAGGAAGAGTGGCACTGTGGAGAATACGCTTTAACACAAACCAACAGGGAAAGTGGATAGCTAAAGACATGGAGATATAAAGATACTTTGTTTTTAAGTAGCATTTTTCTTTGTGGCTTATCTTAATGCATTTTTTGCAGGTGGAGCTAACAATAGCTCTGACACAGAAAGTTTGCCTTCCCCACATTCATCAGAGGACAGCAAGGCAAAGGAAGAGGGTGCAAGCAAGTCAAAGCCCAGCGCCAACACTGGGGACAAGGATGGGGCCGGGTCAGACTCCGCTCAGACAGAGGATGAGAAGCCTGTAGTTAAAGAGGATGCTGATACTTCTGTTAAACTGGAGATAAAAACTGAGACTGGAGAAGGCAGTAAGGAGCCTCTAGCAGCAGTCAGTGACACACAGGACAAAAAACCCCCCACCACAGAGACTGAGGAAGGCAAGCCCTCCACAAAGAGCTCTAAGAAGGACCATAGCGCCAAAGCAGGCTCTCACAGAGACAGTGACTCTAGTGCCACATGCAGTGCTGATGAAGTTGAGGAGACTGACAGCAATGAGAAGTCCAGGTAAGGTCTTTAAACAATAACATGCTTTAATAAATTCCTTATTTGATGGCACAAATATACACTTTCTTCCTCACCCTCCACGAAAAGGGCATTGTTTCCTAGATATTTCTTTGTCAGGTAGTAAAGTTGCAGATTTTGAGAAAATTTTCAATGTTCTCTCTGTTTTAGTTGCTCTTTTTGGTTCACCTTCCCCAGAAGTTCCTGACAACTATTGTCATGGTATATACGTGAGAGGCAATGATTTTCTCACCATTTTCACAATTTTATACATATATCAATGGGTCACAAGATTGATATTGATATTGCCCTGGGCATGTCTCAGAAGAGCAAAAACAAATGTTCTTCTATTTTATGCTAAATATCAATAAACAACATTCTGTTTGTATATAGCACAGTTGGGTATATGTATCTGTGCCACATTTAACCCTTTTCTTTCCCTAGTAAACACAAACATACTCATTTTGTATTTTCAAAAGGAACTCCCTAAAGTATATTAAACATTTTTGCTAGCTTACATTTTTTTCTATATATATGGCATTAAAATTGTACAAAGAATTAGTTTTATTATATTTTTATCTTTGGCTCAAACCTGCAATTGGACAGAGAAAGTAATAACTGAAGTTGATTATTTGTTAAAGCCCGGGTCACATAAGGTGGAGCTGTAAATGAATTCGTCTAGTTATTGTTCACCACATTTATACATCAGATGGTTATTACTGTGTCAAAGGTCTTGTGGTTTCATAGTGGCTTATTCTGTAATATTTGCCAGGTCTACCACAGCTGAAGGAGGATTTTGAAGTGTTTTTGTTGCCTAGCTACAGACTATAGCAGTGAAGCACTATTTGCCAAGACATTTGTACTCTACGAGATGCTTTTCAAACTGAAATTGTATTTGTTTTATATGATATGATGTCGTCTGTCTTTTTTACATGCTCAGGCTGTATGTGTCTGTTAAATGAGGGCACACAAATGGGTGTTAAAGTGTGTGGGAGGAGCGATTAGTCTTGTTTGCATGGTATTTGTTCAATTTTTTCCATGACAGCAGACTGCGTGTACTGGCAGAGCTGAGGGAAAGCTGCCCTCTCTGCCAAAGCAAACAAAGGCAGTGAGTGTGTATCTGAGTGTAGCTGTGATACTGTTCTTGTGACAGATGTGCAAGCCATGTAGCACTCTTTCCACCCTCTGGGGCTGTTTACACCTTATCCCCACATGTATTTATTATTATTGTGCCTTAAATCATTATATCACTGTATTTGGCAAAGGTAGCTTGTAATTAATTTCAATATATTGATTTCTAATAGTACATTAGTAGTTAACAGCACATACTGCAGCTGACAAATACGGCATATTAGTGTTATGACTAATGCAAAAGATATAATACTGATGACTTCTTTTTCCACTGTTATTTTATATTAAAGATTATATTAATAAAGATTCAACTTTTCTTGTTGGGTTTCTACCACCTTGTCTCTGTGGAGATGTTATTGCTTTGTTTGAAATATTTCACTGTATGGCTTTAACTGTATCCATGGATGTATGCAGTAATATTGCATATATGCTTTTATTGCTTATAAAATGCCTTACTTAAATGCATTAGTGTGCGGTGTTGCCTCTCCACATATCTGATCTGTACCCTAGCTCTTTGCCTGCCTGCCTGCTTGTCACTATGGAGATAGGTAAATGCCATACTGTGGAACATTCTAGGTAAAACATAATATCTCCCAGCAACCAAACAGGTAGCAAACCTTTCATCAGAAAATATAGTGCACCTGTTAATTGAGTGCACTTCTGGCTGCTCTACCTGCCGATGTATTACAAATATAGCCATGACTATGTAATATGTTGTGTAGAATTATTTATATTTGCCATTGTTATCTTAATTATAAATGTAGATGTGTATGCTAAACTCTTTATAATCTTTACAGAATAACGTCACCAAGGCCAAGCTTACTCAACTATTCCCACGATGGGGTCATATCGTCACCAATACAGAAACCAATGGACCTGAAGCAGCTGAAACAGAGAGCTGCTGCTATCCCACCCATTGTAAGTCTTGACACCTGAGTTAGAATTTTCTAATGATGCTTTGTAAATCGAACACTGTTGACTGGGTATATAACCAGCACAGACAGATTGTTTCTAAAATGCCCTCATATGGAGTAGGATAACCTTAATTTTTTTTGTGGTAAAGTAATGAGATAGCATGCTGTAAGGATGATTACTTCGAAACAGGAGCTGTTTTGGCTATCACTGTGATCAGACACTGCTTGTGGCTAACCATATGTCAAATGCTGGACAGAGCTGTGCTTGTGGCTCTGTCTACACTGTATACAATACTCTTGTTTTTTGTACTGTTTGTAGATGCCAGAGGCTTCAGTACAAGGTAATCAACGCAGTGGTGCAGGCAAGGCGGCTCTCCCCCCGCACGCCTATGAACTGTTACAGCGACAGATCACCAGGGCTCACGGGGAGTCCTCTCAGGAGGTCAAAGCCCAGCAGCAGGCCCTAAGCACCCCAGGAAAAGGGCAGCCATACCCCCCACAGGCTGAGCGTGACAGCAGCCCTCGCGTCCGTCCTCGCAGCCCCACCAGCTGCGACAAGGATGGTAGGAATACTCTCTCTCCACTCTATAAGGGCTTGTCAGACTGTGCAGAGTTCATTTGAGATCAATGCACTATGGCCAGGATAGAATTATATAGCAGAAATGGCTTACGGCTGTTAATGTAAATGTAACTAATCTCCTTCAATGGCCAACATTTGTGTTACTATTTAACAGAAAACAGGTTCAATAATAAATTCATAATTTATAAAAGCTTTAAATTGTTTCAAACTATTACTCATTGCAGCTACAATATTATCTTCTCAATGGGATTTGAAGGATCTGTGTGTTCAAAGAGTAAACAGTAATCAACAACTTACTTTCACTTTCCAATATGGTGGTAGTTCTGTGTATGGCACCATTGTTTGCTTCAGCAGCATGAAAGTTCGAAAACTGACCATAATGCTTTTTTGTGTAAAAAGGTATATTTAGTACCTTATGATCCACTTTACTTTAACCTTGAATGGTGTTTAGTGTTAAGTATTCAGGTGTTTCTGGGACACTCCTGGAGAGTCAGGCTGATGAATGATCTGGTATTGCTATTGACCCAGAAGGGAAAATAGTTCACTTTGAGCCACTGGAATGTGAATATGTAAAAGCGCTTTTAGGACTTTCAGCTTAGTCCATGTAAGCCATTTATTTCTGTTGAGAATTTGCTCTCTGCTTATGTGCATTTTCTGCCTTTTCATTTTGTCAACAGACATTCTGAGAGATTATTTGATTTCTGATCTAATCTGTCTGGTATTTTCTCCACTGAAATAAATTCCCTACACACACAAGTTTAGATTTAGATTTTTTAAATTAGATTTTTTTTTTGTATTTTCTGTGTAACAGGTAGAATTGAACTTGAGTACACATAGCAGTAGTCGAGTTCTCCATTGATCTGATTGTGGTTATTTTTTTTTTCTTTTGCAGAGAAGTCCAGACCTTATTCCCCTCACAGTGAAGCTAAGAAACAGGCACTTGGCCCCGATGACCCTAGGACTTCCTCTTTAGGTCGTCCTGTATTGTCCCCATACCCAGTGTCCCCTCGCGACATGGCCAAGATCAGCCATGACCAACACCTGCTCCACTACAACTGTGAGCATGTTATGTTTTTTTCAATCAGTCATATATTTTGATTTCTGGATAGACCTTCTGACTTTGGGCATCTCTTGTCTTTCAGCATTTCAGCAGTCAGGCCACGCTGCACTTGGTTTGCCCCAAGAAAGCAGCAGGTTAGCAACAGTAAGACCTATGTCAATGCCAGAGCCGCCACCTCTTATTTCATCCAGCAAACCAGGAGGTTCAATAACTGAGGTGAATAAACAGGCACTTTAGCTAATGTATACAAAACAAACAAATTATCTTATTTACATTTGACTTTCTTGATTTATTCAGGGCACACCAGTACAACTTCACAGTCCAGCTCACAATTTGGATCACAGTAAAGCAACTTCTTCACAGATGTCTTGGGTTGATCCAAGGAAAACTGGTGAGTGAATTTTTTAACCATTTTGGTATTTTCCAAATACAAAGGATTACTTGACTTCAAATGGATTCCTCTCTCGCTCTTACCTCAGGGGCCTATCCAGTTGTGAAGCAGGAGCAGCTGTCCCCGCGGAGCTCCTCATCCCAGGCTGAGACTTCCCAGGGGGCGTCCCATGACAGTACACGAGGTGAGGGATTTCATGCTTACAGATCCTTATATTTAAACTTGGGGATATGTGTATGTGATGTATGTAAATGTATGTGAGCTAAACTTAAACTAAAAACCTTCTTTTATTATTATTATGCATGCAAATTCAGTCCAGATCAGTGATGTCATTTATCATTGTGTGTAGCTTCCCATGCAGCTGTGCAGGGGGGTAGTATTACAAAGGGCATCCCTGGGACTAGAATGCATCCAGAACCAATTTCCTATAGAGGAGGCTCCATTACTAAGGTAAAATGTGGTTTTATTACTGATTTCACTTACTACTGACTTTTGACTGTTTACTATTTCCATTTGATTTAAATGTCAAGATTGTGTTGATGCTTTTCCAAACAACCTGCTTTTCCAGCAGACTGACCATTTAATAAGCCTGTCTATATGTGTGCATTATACAGTGTAATAGAATAGAAAAAAAAAATGTGCTAAAATGTTATCCATTAAATGTACCATTAAACCTGGAATGCTTTACTGGATGTTATATTTATTTTATACATTCCCCCTGTGATGGACAGCAGTATACCTCACAGCTTTACTGTTTGATACATTACAAACATTACAGAGAATGTTGTGTGGATGTGAATTCTTCAAAGTCCCAGTTAGGTCAGAGCAGTGGTGTCCTATTTCTTTCTGACATAACCCCAGCTCATATCGATCCTCATCACTATGGCAACAGGTACACACTGTACCACATCTGTTCCTCCTTATTTAACCCTTTACTCTTGGTGCACTAAGCCTACTCACTGATGATATGCATACTGCAATAACACGTGTATCTTCTACCAAGCTGGAAATAAATCACCTTATTTACTGCACTTTGCTTTTGGCACAGAATTAAATTGGTTGCAAATTGTACTTATTGTAAGTAAAGGCTGAAATGTGTGATTATACAATAATGGTACAGTAAAATTTATGTTGTTATACTTAAAGGCTTTGACCCTACCTCTTCTTCACAGGGCACTCCAGCTGATGTGCTGTATAAAGGAACCATCACTCGTCTAATCACAGAGGACAGTGCCAACCGCGCAGAGAGGGAGCGGGACGAGGCACTGTCCAAGGGCCATGTGCTGTACGAGGGCATCAGTGGGCACATTCTCACTTATGATCGTGAGTACATCTGCTTTGGAAGGCTTCAGTTGCACAGATATTTAAACTAATATGGAAAATTGTATGTTTTGTTATTGACGAGGGATTTCCATTTCATAACTATTCGTTACCAGTTAGAATCTTTCTCTGCAATAAAATAAATAAAAAACATCACTTGCAAAGTTAAAATTGTGACAAGCTGTTATCCATTTTTTGCAGGCCCACCTTCTCAGCCACCTAAAGATGAGAGCAGAGGTGCAGCTGAAGTCCCTGGTCTCAAACGGCCCTATGACGTCATGGAGGGGGGCATCAGCAGAGGGCTGCCAATCAGGGATTCGCTGTCTGCTGCCAACTGTGAGGGTGAGAGAAAATGTAGCCTAATCCTGCATCACCACCTGTTTATGTTCACCATAGCTTCACATGTCATTGTACTGTACCTTATCTGTGTTCTAGGCCTGATTGGTCGAGCTTTGCCCCATGACCGAGACAGTGCACACCATAACCCTTATAAGGATGCCCATCATAACCGGGGGTCTATTTCTCAAGGTAAGTGACAATTGACATGCAGAATGAAAGATAATTACTTTTGCACCATGTTATGAACCCAGATACATTTTTGTTGAAATATTTAGAAATTAATGTACTTTTTTTTTTCAGGCATACCGCGCCATCTGGACACTCAGGATGTTTATCTGAGGAGGGAGGCTAAACAGATGAAGCGGGAGGGTTCCCCGCCGCGTGCCCCTGGCTCCCTGTCAGACCCACTGAAGGGCAGGGACCCAATGGTACCCACTGTGAAAGAACCCGGGCGCTCCATCCATCTTATTCCCAAGGAAGGCATTATATCTCAGGTGTTCATTCAGTTTTATTTAAACACTGTAAATAATATGAAATATTTTACATATGAATTTAACATTTTCCTAACTACACATTATTTAGGTGGCTCCAATCAAGCAAGACTCCCCTGCTTCAGGAAAGCGTCATGATGTTCGCTCTATCATGGCTAGTTCTCCACGCTCCTACCATAATACTCCCCCGCACATGGATGTCCGTGGGGAGAGGGCTCGGTATGAAGAGCCTAAAGGCCGTCCCAGTGCTGTTGTTAGCACAGCCAGTCCTATGGCCCGATCTTCACCACTCACTCTTGGGGCGGAGCAAGGTAAGGCCCACCATAGTCCAGTGGGCTACGATGAGAAGGGCCCTTTAAGGAGTTCCTATCCTGGGCCCTCACACCGTGGCTCTCCACTCTCAAGAGAGGGAGGACAGAGGCAGCATGATGGTGTGTACATCTTATACTTTATTGGCAAGTCAAAATGCATGTTTATCAAAAATCCTCCTAAAATATATAAATATAAATATTTTTTGCTCTAGGTTCAAATAAGAATCCTTCTCAGGAGAGGAAGGCCACACCCACCCCAAGAGAGATGAGCGCTACAAAGTCTCCTCTCCCAGGTGTCTCAGACCAGCAGACCTATGAGCGTCTGCTGCATGGGCTTGGAGCTGCTGAGGTCTACCGCCAAATTCCTCTACCTTTTGATCCAGCAACACTTCCCCGCGGCATCTCCATTGACCCAGGTACTGCCAGTAACAAATTATAACATTAGGGCTTTATTGAGTTTCTATTCTTGCACAGCAAGAAATGTGCCCTGAGGGGACAGGACAGGGAAAACTGAGGCCTGCAAAATGCATCCCATTTAAAAAAATATTCCTAACCAGCTTTTATTTCAGACAAACAACTACCATTTATGTAATTTGTACAAATAAGGTTTTTGATATCCTGACTTTGTGGCCAGACAAAGCTCTTGGGCCTAGTTCAGCCAAAGTCAAAGAAACTATTTGATATATCAGACTGATATATTGTTTCCTGTAAAAAGTCTCCTTATTAAAACCAGTACTATGCTAGCCTAAAGAAGAGTATATGTTCATTGTTTTTCTTTATAGCTGCCTACTATTTGCCTCGCCACCTTGCACCAAACCCAGCATACCCTCACCCTTACCCCTACCTCATCCGAGGTTTCCCGGACACTGCAGCTTTGGAGAATCGTCAAACTTTGTTCAACGATTACATCACCTCTCAGCAAATGCACCAGTGGCCTGCAGCGGCTGCAATGGCTGCCCAGCGCTCAGATCTACTTAGAGGCCTTGCTCCACGAGACCAGCTACCCTTACCCTACACCACACCACCTCGTGGTAAGATTAAATCTGAGAATATTTAGTTTTAGTTTTTTAATCTGCTGTCTTCAGTCTCCGCCAGATTTTGCATTTTACACTTTTTTCTTTATCCTCCCACAGCAATCCTAGATCTGTCTCAGGTGACCCCACACTTGCCTGTCCTGGTCCCTCCACCTGCAGGGGCAGGAGGCTCTCCGATGGAGCGCATCACATACCTGCCTGGGACTAGTCCCTCATTCCCGGGCAGGCCTTACACCACCTCTCCCATTTCACCAGGTATTTTCTACCGATTAACTTGTTTTTATATATTGTATTTTATATGTATCATATTGTATTTGTATTATAATATATGAATGAAACATTATGTTGTCTCGACAGTTGGTTCATCCCACATAAACAAGATGCAAAGTTCATCATCTGAACGTGAGCGTGAAAGGGAGCGCGAGCGTGAAAGAGAGCGTGACCGGGATAGAGAGAGGGATCGGGACAGAGAAAGAGAGAGAGAACGAGAGAGGGAGAGAGAAAGGGATCGAGACAGAGAGAAGAGCTCTCATGGAGTTGTGGAGCATGCGCCAATTTGGAGACCTGGTACTTATTTGATATTTTGTTTGAGTAGTTCTTAAATGCTTATTGCATATTTTACACACAAATTCATCTGTAATAACTTTGTACATCATAAAGTGACACACAATGTAATGTTGTATCTTTACTATTCCTAGGTACTGAGCACTCTGCAGGCAGTAGCAGTAGTGGAGCCAGGGCCTCCTCTCAGCCCTACAGCCACCAGCACTCTCCAGTATCTCCTCGAAACCAGGACAACGTGCAGCAGCGGCCAAGTGTCTTACACAACACAGGGGGCAAGAGTCTGTCTGTCAGTGAACACGCCAGTTCATCTGTTCTGCGGTTGGTGTTATTTGTACCAAATACTTTTGTTTATTTATTTTTTTGATTCATATTCCCATAACCAATGTTGTCCTCCCATTTTAGATCCATGCCCCCAGGCTCAGGGCGTTACCAGAATTACCCTGGCCACATGAGAACAGGATTGCCACCTGAGGCCTTCCCACCTAGTACTGACTCTGCCAAAGAGCAGAGCCGTGATGGCAGCAAAAGCAGAGGAATTCCCAAGCATGTCCCAGAGCAGCATGGACCATCAAGTAAATCTGAGTCCAAGTTGTCGAGCCACAGCCCAGCAGGAATGTACCCCTCTCCTTATTCCTCTGCAGCGGGCCGACTTGCGCTGCCACCCCAGCCGGAGAACCCTCCAGGTCGTGGAGAAAGTGGTACTCCAAGTAGGGAAAAGACTCAAAACAAACCGATGTCCATTCAGGAACAAGAGCTCCGAGCACTCGGTAAGACCACCATGACTGCGGCCAACTTCATAAACGCAATTATTATGCGTCAAATTTCATGTGAAACGGGGATGCCAGAGACGAGTTCGCTTGTTGCCAGCAGCGCCAGTGATGGTAAGACGCTCTGGATCCCAGGGTTCCCTCATCACCAGCCCCTCCCCCGTCAGTCTGTGGCCTATTGCACGCTGTGGTGGTTGGCATTTTCAAATCAACCCAATTCATTTACATTTTTCTTTCTGTGCTATACTTTTTTGCTTTTCCCCTCAATTTATTATATTTTTTCTTAAAGTCCACCGAGGGTTTGCACTGAAAAATAGAATTCTAATAATAAAATATACACTTTTAATTAGCTGTAGCACAATTTAATTCAAGACATTTTAAAACAATCCTAGGTGTCCTTTAAGGTGTCATTTAAGTTGGTAAAGCTGGTGGCACATCAAATATTCCTATGCTGCTTGTGTTTTTTGTTTTTTGGGGTTTTTTTTTAGATGTTACTCAAATTTAACTTGTGGGACCCCTCCTCCCTCACATTTGGCTGTTTGAATCTGAACATTTTAATTTATTTATTTATTTGACTGGGACAGAGCATGTTAATGGGTAAACATGACAAAACGTGAATGTAAACAAACCGAATTGTAGCCTAAGTCTAATTTCCATCCGTTGTCCCATATAAGTGTTCATTACCAGTATATTTTATTTAGACTTCCAGTTCGAATGGAATGTGACTGCGGGAGGAATTTTTAACCCCTGTTCAACTGTGGTTCTGAACAGTTTTCTATGCAGTGAACATACTGTTGCCATTTGTCATTTAAGAAAATCACAAAGACTATGGACAACAATATACAATAGCTTTACCATTCCAATGTGTTACCAGCCACCAAACTGACTCCCTGGGTCCCAGAGCACCAGGGCAGGGTGGTGAAGCGGCCTGCGGGGGAGGGGGGTACTGCAGCTTCTGCCCCCCAGATCTCTGCATGTTCTTTTTTATAGCTCACTGCTGATTCTTACACAAAATTATCCACACATCTCTCTAAATCAAACAAACTGTCTATTTTAAGTCATTTTAATGGTATGCTTTTTGTTCTGTATGTAATGTGATGTACTATGTGTTTCTTTAGGACATTAGTGCATGTCATATTAAAGTCATCTCTACTGGACTGAACAATAACAATAAAATATAGTTTACTGTTGGTGAATAAAGGACATACATTTTCTGTTTAAAAAAATACACCTGTTGCTATTACCAGCATGTGCCCAATGGGAAAGCTGTTAATAACTAATAACTATAATGGTCCCATGGTGCCTAACACCTAGTGTTCTCCTGGGGGTGAGTGTGTTTCACTGTTATTCAGCTGGAATCATCCAGGGAGGAACAAAATACATGTGGTGCAGTAAACAACAAAAAAATTAATGGATTCTTCCCAATAATATTGTGCAATGACCTATGTTTCACTGTTTGAAGCACCAAAGGGTCGGAAATCATAAATTACTCTATCAGTAATTTATTCTCACAATAAGAGTAATTGACAAATGGATGTATTCAAAATGAATTAATCTAAATCTGTTTTGATTACAACAGGCCAGAAAATGGAACCTCACAATATGTACCGTCCTCCATCAGTAGAGAGGATGTCTCCAGGCCAACAGCCTCCATCTCCCTGTGTCAAAGGCAGTCAAAGAGTTGTAACTCTGGCCCAGCACATCAGTGTAAGCAATGCCTAACTACTGACTTTACCACATATACATTAAGCTTATTATATTACATTCTGAAGAGATTCTACTTTTTAAACAGGAGGTTATAACTAAAGACTACACAAGGCAGAGCCAACAACAGCAGAGCTACCATGGTTCTCCAGTCTTGGATCTGACCCGTCCACCCAGTGCCTCACAACCCCCTTCAACTCAACAGGACACAGGAGGGCGGTATTCAGATAGCCTTGGAGGAGAAAGAAACAGAGACAGGTACAAATAGCTACTGACAAGAAAACTGACAACACAATGGTGGATTTGTGGTAGAAGATCTGACATGACATTTTCTCACAGGTCCCCATCTCAACCCAAGTCATCCCCTGTCAGTGTTTCAAATGATGGCATTGAGCCTGTTTCTCCAGCTGGAGCCAACTCGGATCCTGATGCCCAGGGAAGCGCTGCATACCCCAATGAGCAGGCAGAACAAGGGTGAGGACAGAGCAATGGAGCACTAATGTTAATATAAGTGTAGGCAGTGTTGTTAAAATGCTTTTTACATTGTGTCAGATACTGTTCATGCAGTAAAGAATCAAATACAAGTTTAAAGAAAAATAACTGTTGTCCTGTTTTACAGCATTGGCTCCCGGTCCCCTCCCAATGCCTCCCAACCACCAGCTTTCTTTAGCAAGCTCACAGAGAACACCTCAGCTATCGTCAGGTCAAAGAAACAAGAGATAACCAAGAAGATGACCGTTGTGGGAAATGAAAATGATTTCAGTAAGTCTGCGCTAACAACACAGAGTAGATACTACATGTACATACATGCTTTGGTCTGAATGCTAAAAAAATCTATGCCTTAACAACATTTTATTCATAGATGCTGGTCAGCCAGGGACTGAGATCTTCAATATGCCAGCATCCACGGGTGCAGGTAATGATCTGCCATGAGTAATTGAAGTGAACATTATGCTCATATTTGTGCCGTATCTGATGTGTGGTCTTGTTGCAGGACCAGTGAATGTGCGCAGCCACCCTACCCCAGAAGCCCCTGGGAATTCCATCGGTCTGGAAGCCATCATCCGAAAGGCCTTGATGGGCAAATATGACGACCAGTCTGAGGATCGCTCTCCATCCAACCCTGGCTCCAGTGGCCCGGCAGCTGGTGTGGATGGCCGTGCTGAAGATAGTTTCGCTCAAGGTGGGACGAACATTCCTAAAATGAAGCTACCCTTAACATGTGGGCTATTTTTCAGTCATTCATTTCTTTACTCTTTGTTTGGCAGGAGGAGCAAAGTCCTCAAAGGGCAATGGACGCTCTAATGGTCGCAAAACCAAGTCCCCAGGACCGGGCTTGTCTGGAGGAGAACGTCCCTCCTCTGTTTCCTCTGTCCACTCTGAGGGAGACTATAACAGGAGGACCCCACTCAGCAACAGGGTGCTAGAAGAAAGGCCATCATCTACAGGTACTAAATGCAGCAAAAAAAAAAAAAAAAAAAAAAGTTGACAAATCTGACAAATCATTTTTAATGCTTCACATTTTATCTTTTTGACAGGTTCCACTCCCACACCCTATCCCTATAACCCTCTGACCATGCGGTTCCCCAGTGGGACAGTGTCTGCTCCCTCTCCAGGACAGGGCGCTCCTGGCCCTGGAGCACAGGGGCGCTGGGAGGAGGAGCCTAAGCCTCTGCTCATGTCCCAGTATGAGACGCTTTCGGACAGCGAATGACCTGGACGTCACTACAGTCACCATGTCGACACTACCAGTGCCACACCATTCCTTCACTGTCCACATTCAGTCATCAGTCACTTGCCTCTTGTCCTCACACAAAGCACCACAGGGGCAGGACTGGAGCTCCTCGTGTCTTTTATGCTTTCACCTTCTGCTCTCACTCCACCACTGGGCTCAAGGACGCATCATTGTTTAAACAGTTTCACGGGCCGTACCTTGACAGATTCACTGAGCTGTTCCTCTGGCTGCTGGCTGCTCCTCTGGCTGCTGGACCTTGTAGGAAGGGTGTTGGTTTGGCCAGAGGCACATGATGAATTGCTACCACTACACAAGTGTTAGAGATGTGGGAGGGCCAAAGTGGCTTTGCTTATTTGTCTTCTCCTTTTCTTCAGTTGAGTCTGTAGACAGTGAGCTGAACCTCAGTACATTTTGATGGTGGACATTTGATTGTGTCATTTGTCGTCTGATATCTGCAGTGATGTATCTTGTTTTTGCAAGGTCTGGGGGTACAGGTTTTGTAGGAGGGTCATATCATAGGTTTACAGGGTAACTTAACTGTTATTGCTGATGTCATATATCTGAGAGGTCCCAGAGAATAGGCCTGTTGACTTCAGTCCTCTAAATGTGCGGAGATAATGGCACCGACACAAGTGACACTTTCTCACTGTTTTTATAATAACCATGTCTGTGTTTGTTTTGGATGTTAAGCACTTAGCTGGAAGTCTCCTCAGTGTTTTTTTTATTAATCATATTTACAAGGCGGATGAAAAATGGATTCAGAAACAGCGTAGCCATTTCTTTCTGGAACTTTCCAATGCAACCGTTTTTGATGTTGCCACTGAAACCTTCAGTGTCCCCCCCCCCCCCCCCACACACTCAAAACGACAATCACACTTTTGACCGATAAGTACGCTGCTCGGAGCAAATGCATCCCAACCCTAAGGCTGCTTGGAGATGAACCTCTCAGACACATCACTTGGACTTTGTGTGATTTAAAGATGTGACAAAGAAGCCATCTTTTTCCTGACCCTGGACTGACGCAGCATGACTTTTACTTTGCTTCAGATGTGACTGTCATTGTCCGGCTGTGGTGAAACTGAAAACAATTCCTCTTTCACTTTGTACATTTATAGTGTTAAGTGCCATTTATTTTACATAAACAGTACTGAAATTACAGAGTGACGCACAAACTCTTTGGTTCAACCCAGATACATGGGGTTACAGGGATATTGCAAACTCCAACATTTTTTGTGTTTTTTTCTCAAATTTATTACAGCCCTAGCTTTTATTTGAAGGTGATGCCTAATATCACAGGACCATTATTGCAACTGTTAAGATCTCTCCACTTGACACACTTGGTTCAAAGAAATGAAGGGGGAAGCCCTTAAAAGCTTCCTGGTAGTCCTCTGTAACCACCCATGCATTAAGTTGTTTTTACTCCCAGTATTTAATTTTTTTTAAGTTGCTGAGTTTGTCACAGTGGAGATTCACAACACATGACTGTTATAGGACTACCTCCTCTCCCTCCTTTGTGCTACCTGTTGACGGTGGTGGTTAAGCATGCCACATCTCAGCTCTTGTGTTGTTTTTGGCTGGACTGATAAAACATGTGTTTATTTGTTTGATTAAAAAAATATAGGCAGGCTTTGTATATATAAGCCTGCTTTGGTATGCTATGTGTATTCACAGATGTTAAGAATGTGACAGCAAACTAAAAAAAACAAAAACAAAGCCATATCCATTTTCCCTCAAACAAGAGATTGAGTTTTGTTTTTAAAGGTATATTGAAACACTTAAAAAACACACACATCACGTTTCGTAGTTTGTTTGACTTCACGTTTTTCTTTGTTTCTGTAAAAATGAATTAAGTCTACAGTAGATAGTTCCCTGCACTGTCCAGCGGTGAGTGGGTGGGTGAATGGGGGATTGAGAAAACAGTACAATGTTCAACCATTTTGTGCATACAGATTTTTTTTTAAAATATAACCCACTGTATAATAGCAAGGATTGTATATAAAACTGAAGAGATGTAAATATTTATGTGGCTTGCTTTAAGGTTGGTATTACAGAAAAAATGTTCACATGGTTTAATTACTACATGCCACCAGCAAGCTTTGTGGATAGCAGTGTAAAAACGAAAACAAAAGACACTGCCTTAATGTTTAAATAAAAAGCTTATTGCCATTCATGCTTTGTGGGTGACATTGTTTTGCTTCTTCTTATCAATTTCTTTCAAATCTGAAATTACACGCATTAGAATAGTCATCATTGTTACAAGTTTGTATTTTAATGAAGAAGTGTCCAACTTGTACTTCAGCCATTATTACTTCACGTCTTTCTAATTTGGTTTTCTTTTCCAACACTTGCTTGATTTAATTTGAGTACAATGATTTCAGTTATGTTAAAGAAACCTATATGCAGTGATGTAAGACAATGAGTACTGCTGCCAGATTTATACTTAAATAAAAGTAAATGGTACACATTGAAAATACTACTCAAAAATGTAGGCTTACTAGTTAGTTTTTAATACACTTCTTGTCTCATTTTAGATCAGTCTTTGACACAAAACTGTATTAGTTAAGTAGTGAATTGGGACTATTAGGACTAGGAGTTAAATGTTTCTAAATGACTAGAAATATATTACTAAATTTGATTAAATTACTAGATAAAACTCCAGTCCATTGTAAGTAGGTTACAACTTTAAACATTTTCTCAAAAGTAATTACCCACAAAAATGTGCTTTATTACAATAATGTGATTACTTGCAATAAATGAATTTCCTCTCCAGCTGTTCACAAAAATACACTTTTTTTGTTGTTGTTTTGCGTTGGTCCGACTGTTCTGCTCCTTCACCACTAGAGGGCACTAAACCTGAGGCTTCAGGGGAGAGTGATGAGGCGCTGAAGGCTGAGAGGGGCGTGAGGACCTCCGTGGAAACACCAGGCACTGCTCCAGTGGCTCCTGCCAAGAGCCACTGCTGTTATTTTAGCAGCTGTGCGATATTTAAAGACGGTAAAGAATACTCCGCATCACGCATGGTTACTTTTTTTAAACTACTGACTGAGAAGAGATGTTGAATGTAGCCCACCCTGCTCTCCCAAAGGACCCATATGATCCTCCATAGGTCTATTGTCACTTGCACCTTAACTAGTAATGTTGCATAGAAAATATTTAACATTCACTTCCATGAAAAATGATATGAATAGTTGAACGAAAGGCCTGCTGAAATACTTGTGTGATTGCTGTTTTTTCATGATAAGGACTGCTGAATATGCCATGTTATAGGTGCATTTTGTAACTTTTCTGGAAGTGCTTTTCTCGCTTTTCTCCATGGAAATGTTATTGCTTTGTCTGGGATGTTTTACAGTGTATGGTGTTAACCCTCTCCAGGCAGGCATTGCAGATTTGCAACAGCTAAATTCCAATTACCTACTTACTCCACATCCATATTTTATGCCTTTTCTCCCATCCATGCTGATAAACGTGAATGATGCAGACTGTGCAAGAATGGCTCCACACAAACGGCCTGCCAGAAGTGCTAAATACTTTTTTTGTTCACAAAGGATAAAAAAGTCAGGATTGTATATCACTACCCCATATTATAATTTTCCCCAAATATCAGATTTTTCCTGATACTAAAAATTAATTTGAGCCTGAGAGGGTTAAACCTATATATCTTCATGTAAACCAAACCAGGCCAAGTTACAGGTCAAATCTGATCCGAAAACCTCTTTTTCAAGGCATTTTTGAGGCATTCTTCTAACTGAATAAATGTAAGGTAGAGCTGTTTAATGTTATACTGTGGAACATTCTAGGCAGAGCAATCGCATATCCATAGAAACAAGCAGGTGACGAACCCTCCACCTCAGTGCATTTTTATACGTGTGTGGAAAGAGCACTGAAACTTTGCAATGAAGTGAAAACACCAGTACAAGGCAATCAGAGCAGATGCTTATAGGTATACAAAGGAGCTATGGTGAGACAACTGTGCTTTGAGACCATTGGTACTTGGACCCGGTAAGTCCTATGATTTTAATTAGAGCCCGACCGATATATCGGTTGGCCGATATTATCGGCTGATATGGACAACTTTGGGCATATCGGCTATCGGCCGATATGCTTGCTGATAGGGGCCGATATTTCACGTGGGCATGTTATACCTCGTTATAAAGCTTAGACTCTCTACATTCTGTTCATTTAATCCAATTTACAGACAGATAAATGTCCCAATATGTGGCTCCACATCAGTATTTATCTACGGAGTCATTTGTGTGTGTCCATACTGTCCCTGAACACACCACAGAGTCGCGTCACTCACGTGTGTTTGTTTACACCTGCAGACACAGATCCAAACACTGAGATTATATTCTTTTTACGGACAATCGGTTTGAGTCTGGATTAAAAGGACATTTATTAGTGCAGATTTGTGATGTGAGGAGGAGCCTGTATGAGCGGTGAGTGTTGGAAATATGTCGACTCTGAAGCTAGTTTTTGTCATTTGTTATGAGTTAGCTGCTGTAGCTCCCGCACATAAACAGACTGTTTTCTATTGGTCTGTTCTAAAGTGACTATATTGGCCGTATATTTGTTACTGGATCTGCACTGATCCAGTAGCATATAATTAATTACTGCGGCGGGCACGTATTTACGGCTAAAGGCTAATAGCGCTACTTTCTTTACTAGTTATGGGTCCGTCGCGAACGAAATGACTCTTAGATCCGGCTCTTTGAAGCGAACGACGGGAGCCTGATCCTTATTGGGAGCCGTGTTTTCTCTTTCTCTCACTTTTTTTCTCGTCACGCCGCGTGCAGACTCGTGGTTTGACAGCGGCAGCGGCTAAAAACGAAACTTTGAGAAATTTGCGTGTATGTAGGATTAAAAAAAATTTAAATAAAAAAAACGAGCATATTTGACTGTAGTTTAGCATAAAATAAATAAGTCCCGGTTTAGTTCTTTTTCAGTCCTGGTTTAGACCTGGTTCAGTCCTGATTCAGTCCTGCTTTAGACGTGCTTTAGTCCTGCTTGCAACAAAACAATCTGAAGAGCCACTTGGGAGCCAAAAGAACCAGCAGCTTTTAGTGAGCCGAGCCAAAAGAGCCGGTTCTCTAAAAAGAACTGGAATACCCATCACTAGTGTCTAGAATGTGATGCAAAAATGCCATTAAGTCAACCTACTGTCTGTAAATATTATGCAAAGAGGCAGAATAACAATAAATGTTGCCTAAATAAACCCAATTTAAAATCCACCAGAGCCAAACCTAAGTTTTTTAAACAATTCAACATTTACAGTGAATTTTTACATCACTAAATATATCGGCGATTATATTGGCTATCGGCAGCTCCAACTCCCATTATATCGGTTTCATATCGGCCATAGCAAAATCCATATCGGTCGGGCTCTAATTTTAATCGTTACTAAATACAAGATTACATTTACAGAATTGCACCCTATTATACTCCCCTACAAGTACAGGTTTAAACACAACTTAAAAAGCTAAATTACAGTAACTTCAGTATGCTATTTCAAATTAATTACTTCCCCTAATAAGAAACATTTTTGTACACATACATTACAATAGATATACGATCTCATTGATATTCTGCAGACAAAACTAAGGACAACACACAACAAGAGTAGGATTGGGGAATTATTTTATTCAAGGAGGATAAACATCTTTTTAAATTATTTTCTTTGACTAGAAGGAACAACGTACAAAAATAAAAAGAGAATTATGAAGTGCCTCATATGCCACATATACAGTACAACAGGAGAATATTTTACAGTAACGAAAAGGAAAACAAAGGAAACAAAAAAATAATAATAACAATCTCACCAACATCAACTCAACATCCACTGACTTTCTCTCATCTTCCTCTGACCATCTGCACATAACAAGGCCTTCTTCTATCTCGCCTACAATTACTGTTACATACAAACACTAACTTGTTACACATCCCATTGCAATTAGACTTTACAAAAAACTTTTCACATCTATTTTTTCAAACCCAAGTTAAGGTTCTATCCACAGTCCATTTACAAAGCTCTTAATCACATAAAAATTGCAAGGTTGCATATTGAAGACTATACAATTTCAATGAATCAAAAGCTATGGGAAGATTTGAGGTAAAGTTTCGGTCTGCCACCATAACTCATTGAAAGTTTTTCTAGTGTTTTTTAGGACTAGATTAGCATGTGTCCCTTTTTATCATTAAATGTCAATGGTGTGAAAAAGAGGTGTAGGAAATTGCTATGTATTTGTTTGATTTATCTCAAAGAAACAAAACAAAAACAGAGTACTGTAAAATACCTAGAAAAAACACATTTACAAAATCTTCCCTAAATAAATCTTTTGATCATTTGCATTCTTAATTTAAAGAGCCTGGTCAAACTTGACAAGCAGCTGGTGTTTACATTGTTTTCTTGTCCTACTTCTCTCCAACTTTCTTTGGTCCATTTTAAAACGCACTGCTTAAACTCAAAAACTGCAATGCTGGTTCACCAAGGAAACTCCAAAATTATGAACAAGTGCAAGAAAGAAGTCAATTAGAAAGAGTTGGTGCGACAGGGCAATCTTATATCACGTTGAAAGAGCCAAAGGCACCAATTTGTTGTGTTAAATAAGACGTTAAACCAAAAAGTGACATCCGTATGTCTCTTTATAAGTAAAAAGTCCATACAAAATAAACGCTCCCTTGATTCAAATGTACAGGTTTGCAGGGCTCCAGTCTTGTCACTTCAAAGTACTCCCTGTGGCCTTTCCAAACAGGCATCCTTCAGAATTTCTAAGTCCAGATTTCCGTCTCCACACAGACACCTACAAGTCTTCCGTGTAGATGATGCAGGGACTCGAGTCTTCACTGGACTCGAGCTGGACCGTGGACACGAACCAGCGGCGGGACCCCATGGAGTTGTAGTTGAGCGTGGTGCGGTAAGTGTTTTTGGCGTGTTTGGGGTAGATGATGGTTGTGCTCCGGAAGCTCATGGGCTTCTGGCGAGGTTCGAGATAGATCTGGGACTTGTAGCTCCTCCAGGTGCAGTTTCGGATGGCCACCACGGTCTCACTGAAGCAGGTGGGGGTCGGGATGGGGGCACAATAAACCTGGTCCTGGTAGTGACGGTCTGAGTCGTACTTGACCTCTGAGGTGCACCTGGTGGGGGGTGAGAGAATGGTATTACAGTGACCACAAGGAGGCAATGTAAGAAACAGAAACAATTAAAACAAGTCCTGACTGATTTATTATTTAACAATGGAATGTATGTATGTTTATTTGTAAATCTTGTATAAAAAGCTCCAGCTGTGGTCCCATGTAAACTGTGACAGCTGAATTCTATATGCGTAAACTTCATCAACATCATATTGCTAAATTATTCACAAATGCAGATAACACTTTTCCTGCTGGAGGGTCCACAATCTGTTTGTCTCCATGGCCAGGTTAATGCATAGACTGTAATGTTCCACAGTATTACATTAAACTTAGCTATCTCTACAAAGACAAGCTGGTTACACCATTCACAATAAAAATGCATTGTCTTCAAGCAATAAAATTGATAATGCCATTTCAGGCAAAGCAACAAAGCAGGAGGCCATGGAGCCTCTCTAACAAAAATGTTACTTAATGCACCATTAAAAACTGGACATGATTTGAATTAATTTCAAAAACACTAACAGCAAGTCAGTATTTTAGGCATGCAATCAATGTAACTTACAACAATAAAACTTTTTTGATGAATTGCCCTGTCTCATTGTACATGGTTTAATGTATTTGATATTCTTTAAGACTCTCTTTCTCACATTGCATTGAATATTCTGGTCTGATTGTAATCCGTGCTCTAGCATTACATATCCAGTGTACAGTGCTTACTTGATTTCTTGCTCTGACGTGGGGTTGACCTCAATGCTCTCTCCATAAAACACAGGGTGCATGCGGGTCCTTGCGTCAGTGCCTGTGGAGTTGAGCAGCAGGTAGGGCAGCTGTGGGCAGGAAATACAAACATAAGATAAACACACAACAGCTAGGCTATTTGACTCGTTTAAGGAATTACTGTAAAAAAATATAGTTGATCCACCCATGTGACTTTCTTGGCACAGCTATTACTACAAATACAGATTTAGACTGGAGACTTCTTGGCAGACAGACACACTTATTCTAATTGAATCTAGATAATTGTATTTGTAAATGAAGTGTTGGTGGTATATCATATTCATAGTTTTGTCTTGAGTTCAAACTAACAGGGACGTGTGACCCAGACGCTGTCTCCATGCAGTCAGTGGGTGAAAACAAGCTAACAGATGTAGCGCCCAAAGTAGCTCATAAATGAGAAATATGCAGCCCTGGACAAGAAAGGCTAACAGGGAACGGGTCACTGCAGATAGTCCGTAGTGAATAATATTGTATACTTACATTACTTACAGAATTACTTTGATTTTTATTTTTATTTACCAGGACTAGTGCTGGACAACTAGGGAGAATTTCTAATTGCAATTGTGATTTGCAATTTATGTTTTAATATTAGAATCCTGAGTTCACATTTTAAACAAGTCGAGGAGAATTGAAAAAAAAAAGAAATATGAACTGGACTGACAATTGTACCACTCACAGAACATGTTAGTACATTTCTAAACTACAGAATTATCAGTTTCTATGCTGAGGTCAAACGTTATTGTTATTATCAAATTGCAATTTCAATTAATCCTGAAGCCCTAACCAGGATAGTCCCACAGCAATTAAGAAAATACTTTCCAGTAATTTGTACTCCTGCCTAAATAGAAACCTGTATGTCTCTCACAAAGATATGAAAAACTATGCCAAGGTGTTTAAAAAGATTCACTCTTGAGATCTATTAAATCCATCTAATTAAAATATGTTGCATAAATATTAAATGATACTTTTGTTGTACCATTTGAGATCAGGGCACCATTTCTCTCTGTTGAGAAGTTTAACAGCCCCATCTCTGCATGTGAATACAGTGATTATAACTGTCCTCTCTCCACTGTGTGCTGTGATTAGCACAGGTCACACTGGGCTGTCTGGACTGTAGCCCTGGTTTAGCTGTACACTACAGGACCTGATCTGACCAAAGTGAATCCGCTGGCAGTGGTACAGCAGCCTGGCACCTCTCACGTTACACTGAGGCAGTCACATGCTGCGGTTTGGACGGGCCAAGGGCACGGCGGATCGCTGTGGGGCTCGGCTTTCCTTCTGCAGTCTACAATCATCTTCACACTATCCCAATGGGAGGAACAGACTACAGATGCACAGCTGCTAGTTCTGACATGCACACATTTAAGGGGAAAAGTCTGTTCCTGTTACTGGTGGTTAATGGTCCTAAATAATATGAAAGTGCTTGTCCTGTATCTGTGGCGCGGACAGCATTCCAAGTATTTATTCGCTGAGTGCTTTGGCAACTTGTGCAGAGCAAACAGTTGTGAATGGAGGGGGGTTAAATTCCCCTGTACAACCCCCTGGAAGCATATTTCAACTCAGAGCTGCAGCTGAGCAACACTCTCAGGCTGAATACTGAAGTCAACAGGCCAATATAAAGTCTGTACAGTGCGCATACATCATATACACGGATATACCTTTTTTTTTCTGTAGAAATGGGCATGTGCCAAAACTCCAGAGAATGTTGAAAATCCTACACAGACGCATACACTAAGGCTTTTGTACGAAATGAAAAGCCAGCAAGTAATGTGATGGCTCTCGCTATTCCTCTGTCTTGCAGTCTCTGTAATTAACAATAAATGCAAATATTGGTTTTGGTGAGTATCCAGATCTAATTCACCAATCTCCTGTCCCACTGTGAATAGTTTCAATTTCAATTTGTTTATTTGAGCAACATGCAAGTATCGCTATTTGTTATTATTCAGTGGTGCATTTGTGCGCTCAGGGAGTATGAAGCAATATTGTGAGATAGGTCAAAGACACACTTGGGGCCAGATATGTAACACCTTTTAGAGTCAATAGCAATTATCCTTTAACTTTAGCTCGGGTTTAATTTAAGGCTAGGTCTGGACAGTGGGTGTGGCATCTGATTGCAATTAATATCCACAGTTAATACATCTCCTCCATATGCTATTAAATCTTATATTACACTTCCATAATGCTAATAAGTTATGCACATATAAAAGTAAGGTGAAAGGGTAAAAGTCATGAAACGTTCTGCCTGTCCTCGTGGTTAATCCTCTGATAGTTGATCCGCCACCTTAGACGTTACCAACACCGTGCGAAAACAAGTGTTGATGTGCCTTTCATTTAAGAGTGAGAGGGTCATCGTATTCACTTATGCAACAGGCTGCAACTGCCCTAACAAGCCGCACAGCTCAAAATAGGACTGGCAAGATTGTTCTTGGATTGACATACAAAAACATGCAAACAGGAGGTCTATTCAAAACAACGTAGATATATTCAAAATTGTAGTGCCACTAAGGGACAGCTTCTTAACAAAATGCTACTAGAGAATATGCTTGGTGTTAAGTGTGTTATATGCACAATTTAGAGGGGGAAAAAAATCAAATTACAACTTTTCAAAGTTCTGTTCCAAAAAGTAGGATTCTCTTCAGAGTTCATGTAGTAAAAAACAACTCCACAAGCATTAAGGTTTAAGAGAATACTAAAATATGAACTGATAAACTAATACAAGAATCCCAGTGATTTTCTGAACATGTTTGAGTAGGTCTGAAATGCTGGCACAAAATGTTTCTATAAAAAGGCTGTTTTATTCTCATTCTATTATGTAAATTACAGTCTTTGCAGTCTGATAATTGTGCCAATTTAAATTGCTATTTCATTTTGTCTGTGATATATTGTGCAGCCCTAATACTTAACCTACTTTCCACATTTACTTCATTTTCAAGGGTGTAGGAGCTAGACTATACTTTCCCTCCCATTGAGTTGATGCTATACAGATGAGAAACTTGTGCAGGATTAGAAGATTTCTCTCCTTTTTTCTGTCTGTCAGCAAAATCCAATGTCACGCAACTCCCACGATGCACTGCTGCATTTCTGAGGCCTCCTTAAAGCCACCATTAACCTGTGTGGGCTTGTTGGTAAAATGAAGACAGTTACACTAAAACTAGGAGTGACCTAGAAATGTGTTTTCAGACATGATTCATATCTATATCACACATAAATTAAGATTGTGTCTATTGAGTGTGGTTATTCCAAAATTTCAAAAGAATAACAATAATAATAATAATAAATTCTTGGGCTTTGAACTTTTGAGATAGTAATTTCAGTTTGTATTTCACAAAGTTGCTAAAATCAGCACTTTATAACAAATATAGGAGATCAACACAAACACTAAATATTACAAAAGTCTCTCACTCTGCTGTTGTTGAAAATGCAGGCAAACTTTGACAACACTAAGATTTATTTTAGAGCACTCAGTGGAAACTAATCCCTATATGCCCACTCAGTGACATGGCTACTGACTAAAGGCCCAAATACTTGAGGAGCAATTGCAAAACCAGCTTTTTGCCAACTTCCAGGAAGAACTTCCAGGCACCCCACAAGGTTGGTAGAATGGAAATCAAAGTGAAACATACCAGGCTACTTTCTATGTGTGATTGTGGAGTTTTAGCCAAGTTTGTATTTGAAATAGCTTCTTTCTTTCTTTTTTACCCAAACAATCTCTCAGTAGCATACCTTACTGCGTTACTTTTTCCACCACTGGTTAATATATGACATGTTTGGATTGCCTGGCATAAGTACTAACAGGGCTACTGCATTGTTATTCACACAGAAGTCACTTGAGACCGGCCACTGACAGATTCCTGGCACGGACCCCTGGGAGTCCCCGGACCACCAGTTTGGAAACCCCAGCGGAGAGGGGGCGTAATTAGCACACTGACCTCTTGTTAGGGCCCTATTCTTCGAACTGAGCAAACATAATTGTGATACAAAAATACTAGCCTACGTAAATAAAACGGACATTCACGTGAGCAGCTGAAGAATGCTGGGAAATGGAGTAAGAGCTTCCAGATGTCACCAGTGAGACTGTGTTTGGTTTATCCAAATTATTCAAAAAATGACTTAAAATAGGCTTGCAATATAAATGAAGATAGATGTAACAGTTTCTCACCAGTTTGCCCTCTTTTCTGTTGTATGCAATGTGGTGGTGTTGTTGGTGGTGGTCGGGCGTCGTGCAGCTGCCGGAGCGCGACTCGATGAGCCCCGGAGAGAGGGAGCAGAAAGGCGGACTGGGGCTCGGAGGTAAACCCGAATCCGGACTGTCGAGCAGCCCTTCCCGGTTCTTTCCTTTGAGACTTTCATCCATCGCTTGTAAATGCAAATGCCCCACCATTTCTGGAAAGGCTCAACGCAAAGTGGAGTAAAAACAACCCAGGGATGGTTTTAAGTGGAGGTTCGTGTCTCTGCGTCGATAAAAACAATCCAAAGTGATGCGTAAAAATGAAAAGTGACAGAACGTGTAGCTGTTGACGTTGACAGGAGTCCGTGGAGAGCGATCAACTCTTTCCAAAGTTTTCTGAAGCCTACCTGCACGAAGAGACGCGTCCGCTTGAGTTAAAGTAATCCAAACCAGAAACCGCTACAAATTCCACTAAGGAAATAAAGAAATGTCTTCAATCGCCGTAAAGCCGAGTAGGCTACAAAGTGGTCCGCGCGTCTGGCAGCGATCTAGAAGAGCGCTCCTCTGCTCTGCTCTCTTTAACTGACTGTGTATAACTGTGTATGTGTCTCTACTGGAGAGCTCCCTCCTAATGATCCTGCCAGGCTTTCTTCTGCCGCTGGCCCCGGTCCAGCCCTCGGGAGCTGGAACACTTCCACGCTTGGCCGCCAGGGGAGTGTACGGCGCGCTCTTTCCTCTGCACTCTGCCCCTGCTGGGAGCTGCTCTTATAGCCTCCTACTGAGAGTTCCCACAGGAGGAGACTGGCACTAAAGTAAATACAGAGTGCAATGCTCTTAGCTACTGGTTGGTGCTCCAAGAGGTTTAACTGAGGCGAAAGGTTTACTACACAAGTAGTGTATTGGCGACAAATGTGTGTATATATATATATATATTAGTGCTGTCATGCGATTAAAAAAATTGAGAGATTAATTAATTATGATCTGTAATTAATTAATCTAATTAATCTCATTTTAATCTCACCTAAAAATTGCTGAGAAAAGCCTTCAATTTGAGGTATTTTCATTTAAATTCATTATTACATTATTGTGGCAGATCAAAAGACTGATATAGATTAAAAAAAGTGACTTTATAAAGTCATTTATTGTTTAACAAATCTCTCCAAATTGGCTGTTGAGCCCAAGTCTCCATGAATAAGAAACTGTTTGCTGTAAAGTAGCAAAGACGAGGAAATCTGAACATAATAACCTTTGTCTACTTAAAGACAATAAAAAGTCCAGTCTTTCCTTAACCATATTAAAAATATTATTGATAGAGAAATGCTTTATATATGAGATCACTGGTTTTAGTCCTTGTTTTAGTCCTGCTTTAGACCTGCTTTAGTCCTAGTTTAGTCCTGGTGTTAGTTCTGGTTTAGTCCTGGTTTAGACCTGGTTTTAGTTCTGGTTTTAGTCCTGGTTTAGACCTGGTTTAGACTTGGTTTAGACCTGGTTTTAGTTCTGGTTTTAGTTCTGGTTTAGACCTGGTTTAGTCCTGGACTGGATTAGTCCCGGTTTTAGTCTTGGTGTTAGTTCTGGTTTAGAGGCGCACAGGAGGAAGCGCAGTTTACGCAGCGTAGGCGAGAAAACACGGTCCACACGCGGCGCACGGGAGCACGTCGGTGTCCGCGCAGTGTCTACGGAAGGAAACGTGGTCCGCGCGTTCTCAGGTTGATGACGATGATGAAGGTGTGTGTTTGTTTGTGTGTGTTTGTGTGTGTGTTGTGTTCGTGTCCCCTCATGTGGCAGGTCACTATAGGACAGTAGTGCAGACATCATGAGTCTATGCAGCTTGTTTTCACCAGTGACATTTAAGTTGTAGGCGATATTATATTTGTTATTTTCTTTTATATTTCACGTCGGGAGAATAATTTCCAAGACACGAATGTGTTTTTACCTGTGCACTGCTGCCTCTGTTCTACTGGCTCTTCGACCTCATCCATTGTGTGACTGGCGCCGCCAACGTGAACATGACGTTTACATCGCTGTTACTGCGCGCGTTTTGTGCGGGTTTCCGGCAATGAGTGGAATTACCGAAATAAAAAAATGTATAAATGTGTTTTTGTGTGTGTGTTTGTGTTGTTGTTGTCCCAACAACACATAAAAACAGGTTTTATAATAAAGCAACTCGCATACAGAAACACTAAAGATTAGAGATTAAAAATGAGATTAACGCGATTAAAAAACATAACGCGCTAAATATGACTGTAATTAATTAATCGCAATTAACGCGATAATTTGACACCCCTAATATATATATATATATATATATATATACACACACACACACATATATATATATATATATATATATATATATATATATATATATATATATATATATATATATATATATATATATATATATATATATATATATATTGCAAATTGCTTCTAAAACTACTTTCACTTTTCAGCTGGCTTTGTTTGGTTTCATTTAATAGAGAAAGTGATTGATAGGATTATTAAAGGATTACTCAGGTTATTTTTCATTTTGTGTTTATAAATATATGTAACAGTTGTGCTTAGGTATATTTCAGGACTGGGTGGAGATGGGTGGAGACTTTTGCATCCACAAGTTCTTAAATAAGTCAACACCCATCCCAGCAGCAGCAGCAGCAGGCCTGGCAGCAAAATAGGATCCTTGTTGTTGGTTCCCAGTATATAACTTACATCCATTGCTTTGCCAAAACTCAGATGAGTGCATTGCATACAGACTTGATTGGACTGAATCTTTGATGGTCCAACAGTTTTCATGATTGCCACTCAAATGTATGTTTTAAGATAACATTGCGTTGTCTATATGTTATTCCTAATATACTCCTAACCCTGTGCTTTTTGATTCTATAGTTTCCTCACTGCTCCTGGGAATTGGAAACAAGAGACTGCTAGCATTGAATACAGGTAAGTATTTGCTTTTGTTGATCTAGAGTAATTTAGAGATTTAGATATAATAAAATGGACTATAGTTTTGTTTAATGGGAAGTTTAAGATCTTATACACATATTGCTACTGATCAGCAGCCTAAAAAACATCAGCAATAATTAATCATGCTCCTGTCTTTTGTTAAGTTAACACTTGCTAATTTTAGACACTGTTGATACTTTTCTAAGTCCCTCTCACATAAAAGTATGGTTCACTTCTGTATAACTTAATGACACTTAATGGCGATACAACAGCAATCCCATGAAACAGCTACGTATATATTTGCTATATATTCTCTTTTACATAACAGAGGTGTGAAAAGAGAAATATTAATACTTAGAATGAACTTTATTTCTTCAAAAATTATACATCAAATGAATAGATCATCTTCCTATATTTTCCTGCTTAATTCAACTCTTGATTCAATCTTCCTGCATCTCAGTTAATGCTTTCTCCTTGTGCTGTGTGCCATCAATCACAGTTACTTTGGCGTGCACTTGTTGACATACCTGCTCCCTCCCACTCCCTCTCTAAGTAAAGATTCTTTGATATCAAACTCTTGACCTTTCCATTGTAAATGCCAGCACCGGGACATTATGGACCAGACAGACACTTTCACCTTTTGGCCAAAACCTCTGTAACCGCAATGTGGGAGTTGATTGAAGACTTCTGCTACTATGATCACGTTCGTGCAAGCTTCGGTCCAGACATACAGACAGGGAGGACAGCCAGCACCGACCAATGCCAACCCGTCCTTCCCAGTGATTCATTTTTCTAGTGATCGTCCCTGTTCTCTTGTAGTTCAATGCCTCATATCCTGCAAGCTTATTTACGCTCAGACTTACTCCACATGCACAAAACAAGATGGCGCTGAATCAAAGACAGCTATACGGTGTGGTAAACAGGTGTGTGTTTATTTGGACTGCAGTAATATAGATCAAAATAGTTAAAACTCCAGATCAATCTACACAAATCAATTTTAACTGAGCATTTACATCTGAACAAGAGACATTAGTAGGTCAGTCAGTTGAATGATCGTCTTCCAGTTTGAAAGTCATACATTTTGAGTCCTGTTCCCACACTAAATATCATTGGTAAAGTGGTCAGGTCCACTCACCTTCAGGCTGATGTTGCAAAATGAATTGTTATTCAAGTGTCATTTAGCAAGACACTTAACTTGCTTAAACTCTCCCTCAGTATTGGCTTATAGTGTGTGTGAATGGGTAAGTAGTTCCTTGATGTAAAGCATTTTGAGTGCCTTAAAGTAGTCTAATCACTTTTTTATAATGTGTGTCCTTGATACTGAGATTTGATGGGACACGATCTCGAGCATTTAAGTAGTACATAAAATAAATTAAGCCAACACTGTGAAACTGATTGCACTACTTATTTATTACAAATTATGGCAACATTTCTTCTTGTCTCGTTCTCATGGACCCAATCTCGTGGCATGTCTCATCTCATAAAAATTGTGTCTTGTCCCACCCCTACTGAATATTTTTTATGCACCGTTGATATTTCCAGTACATATAATTCCTTGTGTGCTCTAACTTTGCATATGTGGTGTCAGCATGTAAACAGACATAGGGTTGGTGAAAGAAAATTGGATTTTTTAGATTTTGGGGGACGTCACTATGGTTTATCTACACTCCCCTCCAGACTATGTACTCATGACCCAATAATGTTACAGTTTGTGCATTTAAAACATTAGTCTCAGCACAAAAGATTACACCGTATATAGTAAGCGCAAAGTATTTCTAAAGCAACATTTTATCATTATTATTTCATTGTTATTGGAAATTTAGAATTTTTCTATGGGACTGATGATGCTGCTGCAATAAATCAAGATTCCTTTTATTAGTTTAAAACAATATTGCAGATCACATTGTATGTAAATTATCTGGTGGGGAGGTGTCTGGTATCTGCATGTCTCTTTACTTTACTTGAATGTTTTGACCTGTAACCTAGTCAAATGACATCAACTGTATATTTCTAAGGGGATTAAGTTAGATGCCATACGATGGATCATTGTAGGCAAATGATAGCATCTCCATGGAAACAAGCATGTAGCAAACCCAGCCAAAAAGTTGACATATCTCTGACATAACTGACATATCTCACATGACACAACAATATTAGTATTAGTTAAAATTTTTAGGTTTTGTTTTTTTTTTTTTTTTTTTTTTTTTTGGAGGATCCAGATCACTGTCTAGATGTCGCTTTTTACTTTAGTTTTGGGCGTAACCTCTTCATTTGGACTTTAATACATTTGTTATCACCTACTTATTTAAGGTCAACACAGTCTGTCCCACATGTATCTCCTGTTATGTCCCATATATTATGCTCATGTCGAGTCTGGAGCTTGTTGACATCTGGATTTATTTAGTCAAGACCCAATGACAATCACACCCTGCATCTTTATCTCTCCTCCTCTTTTGCTTTGTGCACTGTATGACTGGACATGGCCACCAAAAACACCAGTGTAGCATGTTCCCTTACAAAAGCATGCCCTAATGACTGTCCATAAAACGGCTCACCTGCTAAAAATGTCTCTTAAATCGTCTTGTAAAGTCAGGCCCAGCACCTGCCTATAAATCCTCTGTGTTGCTTTGAAAGTGGTAATAGGGCACATCCTCAGATTCCTGGCTCTGAATAGTTCCTTTCTAAAATATATTTTATTATTCTTATATAGTGTCTGTTG